TGCATTCCCTCTGCAGATTTAGACATCGGCAGCATCGAATTTTATTTCCGTGCTTGTGATAGAATTATTTTCAATTAAATTTCTTTTTTTATTTAATTTACATTTCGTAACTGAGTTGTTGAGTTTTTCCTACGTCACGTAGAGAGATGCGGATGATTTGTTTGTCGTATTAATATTTTGTAAATACCGTATAGTACGCTTTCTATTTGATTGAATCGCAAAAACGCAGTGATGAAAAATATAAAACTTATTAAACGCGCATCTGAAATAAATTTCATATTCATAAATTTGATATTCGCGAGTAAAAAAGAAAAGGTTCGATTATATATAAAAGTTTTTGTTATTCCGGGTCTTTGGAACTTTGTAAGAAAGGAGGTAGTCATTAGTCTTGCTGTAGAGAGCGATGACACGCCGGCATGAATACGTCGCGTTGCTATTATTGTATTCACGTTAAAACGTATACACACACACACACATACACTTTCGTGAAACATCCCTCGCCAGACGATATTGTACTTATCTTTTGATCAACGAACTCTCGCACACACCGCGAATTTACATTTGATTTCTTTCTCGTTTTTCAATTTTGTTCCGCGCGCGCGTGCGCGCGTCTCTTCTCTTCTTATTTTCCTCGGGATTGCACATCCCCTCGCATTTTTGCGTCGATGACGTCAAGTGGAGCGGTGCAAATTTGTCGTCGCGACAGCAGCTACGCGTCATAGAATAGAATTCCGCGCGTATGTAACGCGCGTCTCTATTTTTCGCCGGGCTGCGAAAAATCCGTGTCTCGTCGACGAAACGAGACGCGTCGAGCGAGGGGTTGTATCTCTTTTTTATTGTCCCGTTTGTGCGAAAGTTTCGTAACGACGCGATCTCGAAAATATATCGTTAGAAATAGAAATGTTTTTCCGCGAGAAGTGAGTTCAGAAATGTGTATTGTTCTTTGTCTACAGAGTAATATTTAAAGACCGACGGCAAAAATTACTCGAGAATATTCCGAAGTCAACAAATAATTTTTTTTTTCTTTTGCGACACTAAACGCGCGGCGTCGAGTAGTTAAATGTCAATGTTCCTCCAGCATCCGCGCGACCTGACGGTGAACTATCGGAAAATTCACGGCGATCGTAGCTTGGAAAGAGGCCACATTTGTTCTGAATCCGGATTTTCAGGCATTGTTAAGCGCGCTTGGCTCGGCGCCAATTGTGCATGGCGTCCCTACTTGCCAGCTCGAATTCGATTGCTCTGTACAAAGGACACGTTTAGCCGAACTACCCTCTGTTAACTATTTGCATGTAAACGGCACAAATCAAACTGCGAGACACACAGTTGAAATGTCGCTGGCATTTCTGAATCATTGCTCATCGAAACGTGTAAATAAAAGCGTTTTTGTCTCGTGATTGTTTCGTAATGTTTTTTTTTTTTTTTCAGATCGAAACTAATGCGTGTCGCATATTTACACGGATTTAATACACGTTTCGTTCGTGACAGCAAGATGCGACGGTTTTTTCAGCAGAAATAAAATATTGCGACGAAAGACGTTGATCGAGCTGACCGCGCGTTTGACATTACGCGAAACAGAGCGACAGTTTTCATTAGGAACAGCGTTACTAATTACAGCGTTATTAGAAAGTCTGTTTTCACGCATTTGAAAACGCCCTAACGCAAGGTGGTGTAACCACGTGACGTAACGTGACGTCTACGGCAGTGACAGAAACCAGTCATTCGTCAAGCGTGTTACCGCTTGAAGGGGGAATGAGAGAGGTTTCTTGATGCCGCAGTAGTAAAGGTCTATATAGTTACCAGACGCGTCTTCGGGTTGACGGAACAAAATGGTTATGTCGATTATTAGTCAGACAATCACCCAAATTTCGCAATTGCTCAAAACTCATTATCAATTTTTTTGAAAAACAAATTAAATGCATAAAAATGATTTTACATATGAAATTCATTATCAGAGATAAATATATTATGTATGTGCACACACAAATATATTATACGTAAATTATTATATAAAATAAAACACAATATTTGATTGATGTTTTAATTACAGTTAAGCGATAATAAATCAATCAGTTTAATTTGCTGTGTGCACATAATCTTTATAATTTGTAAATTTGTTTATCTTTTGATACTTTATTTTACATAAAAAATTACCTTTATATAGGAATTGAAACTTTAGACAGAAATATTAATATGGCTTATAACTATATCTAATATATATGTATGTGTGTGTGTGTGTGTGTGAGGGTGTATGAGATGTTATCATGAAATTGTAATGGTATTTAACGCGTCATTCCTCAAACACACGATTGTCATTACCTATCGTCTGTACAACTCAATCTCGCAACGATTAAAGGGATTGTTTTGAGGTAAACGCGCGCGCGCGCCGTCGCAATGACCCATTAAATCAGCTGAAGCTCCGATTAGAAATGACCCCGTGCCTGGAAACGGTGCGTATTGTATATACGTGACAGCTATTCGCTTCCACGGTGGCCTCGTCTACTCGGCGAACCCTTGGTTTCAACCTCTATACATCCGTAATGAGCCCTTGAAGCCTCACAATAGTCCTATGTGTAACCAACCAAAACCCAGGAGTAATTCCGAGATACGCGGCAAAGAAGCCAGAGCAAGTCGATCACCTAACGCATTTTCGATTTGCCTAATCGCGATAAACGACTTGCGTGAGAGTAGCTCGGAGAAAGTAGCTCGGAGTAAAATACCTCGAGAAATGAGCGGTAACACATTTTCTCTTAAAAAGAAAAATAAAATTACCATAAAGCGATAAGAGAACGAGAGATAAAAATAGATATTATTAAAACAGCGGAGAGATAAAAGCAGATATTATTAAAATAACAGAGAGGGAATTTAATTTTTACTTTTATTTTTTTTTTTTTTAGCTTTAATTTTACCGACAATGTATTTTTAGCCAAACAGCTGCAAAAGTAGATTTTAAATAAATGCGCCATTATTTGTTACTATTTTTAATTTAATTGTATCATTTTCTTGAGCAAGTTTTCTTCTTAAAAAAAATTCCGCTTTATAAGACGGAAAAAGATTAGAGGACAACTTTGCGAACAAAAACGAGATATCCCGAAAAAGTTGGAAAACTATATTATTCTATATATATATATGTTAGTTCGGCGAATGGATTTTCTTCGACCCTTCGCAATATGTTATGAACTAAAGTCTAAGTACAAAAAAAAAGAGTAAACTCCGTGAAGAGATTTATATAAGATTATTAGATATTGGGGTGTAATAACTTTCTTTTATCTTTTATATTTCAAAGAAGTTTTCTGCGTTTTTGAAGCGTAGCGTTAAAAAAAAAATTATTACATACTCCGTGTTGATGTAATCCCGAGAGGAAAGTAATTTTTAAATAAGCATTATGATTATTTTATAGAGTAAATCTGACTAATACGCTGCGTTTTCTGAATCAGCAATGGAGACTCGAATAGATTTGACGTCTATCGGTTGTCCATTGGCGTGAGAGAATCTCCTTAAATAAATAAATAAATTCGGTACTCCAAAGGATTTGCTTTTACATGAAAAAACATCACGAATCGTCGATCGTGCGTGTCTTTCGCCGACCTTTCGCGAAAGGTTGTATTCGTAGACTTTGATTGAGCGCCGTTTTTCCAGCGTCTACGAAGAATATTAAACATGAACGAAGGGTGGAGGAGGCTGCGGTTGCTTCTCTGCCTCGTTCGTTCGTTTTCTGTCCAAAACATCGAGCCGGAATGCCTAGCACGAAACAAACGACGCGGCTCATCGATAATTCATTACCATCTTCCATCAATTCCTTATCTTGGCATGCACTACGATCCGTGGGGGATCGTACCTCTCGTAATCTCTCTGATGGAATCGGTCTGCGGTTGACGAAATACAGCGCTGCGGATTATGACGTTCCGCGAGAAGGTTTTTTTGCAATATTTTATACACAGCCGTTTAGCGGATGTGAAATATTCCGAATATCTCTCGTACATATCGAAAGATATTTCTCAAATTCTGTCTCCGATAGAGAAAAAAAGATATATTTAAATATTTACACACACACACACACACACACATACATTTAATACATAATTCTCTTTCACGATATCTCTTTCAATTCGTTATCGATTTGAGAATGAAATTATTTTTAGTTGCACACGATTATCACGATGAAATTAACGAACGTCTTTTTTTTATAAACCGTCGTCTTCTAATCTTGTGATCACATTAAGTGCTTTGTAAGTTAATTCTGAACCGACCGCGTTTATAGGAATAGTATTAATTCAGCGGAAAGCTAAACTCTCATGACACACAATTAACGAGATAATGACTTATTATCAGAGAACGACGTAAAACGAGGTTGAGAGATAAAAGAGCTGGCACAAGTTGATTAATGTAAATTCATTAATTGCTTACACCTCGTTGCGTTAAATCACCGTACGTCGAAAGTAAAAGAATTATGTTAATTAGATTCTTGTAAATAGAAATATCGATTATTCGACATTTTTTTGTTCTTTACGACGAGGAAAAAAAATTAAAAAATAAAAAAAGAATCGCAAAAAGAAAAGGAATATTTTCCTTATTTTCTCGACCGCTCTCATTTCCCGTAAATTTTTAGCCGCCGGATACGATTTTTCACGGCTCTGCAAAGTGCACTTCCAGGTTTGAAAAATGCTATTCGCGAAAGAAAATTTATGGACGGTCGTGACGGCGTTGTTGGCTGCAATAAGAAATCGGTTTCGAGAAGATAAGGCAAGAGAATGGGAAAATTCACTATGGGACAACGTACTTTTCTACTACTGGCGATCTAACAGCTATCGGATATCAAATTTACACAATTTGTACAAAACTTTGATAAAATACGTCGTGTGATATAATACGTATAATAAATATAATACCAACACATATACCGTACGATATAATATATACATATACACTTGACATATTATAGTATAAACAGTATTGTATAAATAATATAATATATTTTCTGATGCACACTTATGTTACAGCCTGCAATAAAACGTATTTTGGCGACGTGGGGAAAACATATGATTTGGAACTGCATCGACCGAAGGAGGATAAGGTGCCTTACATTTGCAAGCTGACCTTCAACGCGCCGGGTGACGATTTCGGTGATATTGTGCAGGTGAAGATTTTGACACTCGTGTTATTACTTATATTTACCGTGACCAAAAAAAAAAATACAAAATTAGAGACGTGAGATAATTCGTTTGCGCGCAAACTATCAAAAAAAATGCGCTTCAGGAATTTGAAGTAAATTACGCTTCGTTGAATCCGATTTTAATTAAAGCACTAACGAAGTACGCGGAAGAGTTCGATGAAGAAAACGCGAGAGACAGCACGGGATAAAAAATGCAGCAAATTAAATTTAAGTTTTTATCGAATCGTTCGTTAAAAACAGCCACAACAAATTTATTATTTTTCTCGTGGAAAAGTGGAGAACGGTTGCGAATATCTCGCCGAAACGCGTTTAATACAATAAATTTTGTATTACATTACACAACCACTCGAAACGCACACGTGGAACGAAAGAAACGTTTGCCGTTCCGGAAAACATCTGCACACCCATTTCTCGCGCAGCAACCGCGGGGGAATTATTTTTTGTCCGCGAAAGAACGGAATTAACGACGGAATTTTTAATAACAGCCGCGCATTTTTCAACGATTGTGTGAAACTGAAAAACTCACCGGGCCGTTGAATTTTTTTTCGAGAGCGTGAAAACTTTCTGGATTGTGCACCGAAAGAGCGACCGTTGAATTGTTTACATGACAGTGTCTACCGACTTTCTCATATCTGTCATAAGAATCTCGTCTATACCGACGGCATGCGTGCGACCGTGGTCTCAAAGAGACCGCAAACACAAAACTGTGTCAAAAAGTAATATATCAAAAAGTAAAATAAGACACCGCGTGGAATTGTGAATATAACATACTCGAGTCGACAAGTTGCCAACTTTTTAAATTAATTTGATTTAATAGTGACAGTATATTATTTATTGAAAAATTAAAAAAATATATAATAATATAATATTACAATAAACTATTTATATATACAAGTTGATTATTTGACTCTCTCGCTCATCGATTACAAAATTATTTTAGAGGTATAAAGTGTTGTATTACAAGCACGTTCTCTAATCGCGTATATCACTTTACTCGTGTATGACTCGCCGGTATCTGCAAGCTGCTTTCTATCATCGCCAGAGCGAGTCTGTCGATATTTTAATCGCGCGGCACGAACGGGCGAACGAGCGCGACTGCTCTTTCAGATGAAAACCCGCGCAAACTATCAATTTTTGACGGTTTGATCAATGGTCGATGACGCGGATGCGAATTTATTTGCTCGGCGCCGTGTAAAAAAAGGAAGGCCTACCACAATGAAATCATTCAACCGTCAATGTCACGATGAAATTTTATAAAATATGAATAATGAATGAAGAACAATTATTTGGAAAAATAAAATTCATGAATATTTAACATCAGATAAAAAATGTGCAGAAATATAAGTGTCACTTTTAAAGTTGTATCTTATGTTACGAACTCAATTATAATTAATCTAACAATCTCGGATATTTTTTCGTTAAAAATAATGTTGTTAAATTATATTGTTTTGAGTAAAAATGAAATATATTCTAAAAGAAAACGATACTTCCATGATTTACTTGTTATTAAATACTCACAATAAATACTCACTTCTCTGATTGCAGCTGACCTTCGACAGCTTTACTTTAGGTAAATTTGTGTCGTTTACCGCGGAAGGATGTCCCGATGGATCCCTGCAGATCTCGGAAGCGCAGCGTCCCGACGTCGGCGGGCTCTGGTGCGGCACGTCCTGGGGACCCGCGATTTATTACAGCGAAACGCCTAGCGTCTCGATTATCCTCAAGCTGCTCAGGCTCAGTAAAGATCAGACAGGATTCAACTTCGACTTTAGAATGGCGTACAAGATGATCAGAAAGTCCGACGCGGTGGTGCGCTACGGAAATCCCTTCGTCGGTAGGTGATCAGCTTCCGGTTACAGATTTCGAGCACGTTCCTCGAGAGTTTGGTTCGCAACACGTTCGACATTTGTCCCGCGTCGTCTTGTCTTTTATTTTCGTACATTCGTTTCGAATTCTCTTGAAACAAGTTTTGAAAACATTTTCGCTGGTTGAACACCGTTCGCACTAAAATCTAATTTAACTTCTGTTTCTCGCCGCTTTTGTGGATTTTATATTATTATTGTCACTGTTATAAAGTGTCTCTCTGCAACAATAAATATTTGACGTGCGAGTCGTTCGAACGTGCTTTGTTGCTAATTCGCGCGATTGGCGGACTATCCTGAAAGGGCGGTCACAGAAAGTGCGCACCCTAATTTTTTTTTTTTTTTTTCACCGTTTTCGATTATTAAAATTCCAATATCGTCACGTGGTCAGGAATAACGCAGTTTGTCGGGACACCGGCGTCGACCGAGCGCACGTCCATCGAGTATGCGAACACGTCGATGGCGATGCCCGTGCAAATGGTCGAGCAACGTGTGCCACTGCTGCCTACGAAGCCGAGCACGGAACAGTTCTTAGGGGACCTAATATCCGGGACTTATTGCTCCCGTATATTCACCGACTGTGACCGGAAGAAATGCAGATTGCAGTCGCCTAACTTCCCCGGTCTCTATCCCCGCAATCTCACCTGCTACTACGCGGTAAGACTCGCGCAAATCGTCACCGACAAAAGATTTTTGTTGTTGTACGAACACTATTTCTTTACCGCAGTTACTGTAAACGACAAATATCATCGAAATGTGTTTTGAAACAACGCCATGAGAAATTTGCTATTTTTGAGTTTCATCATCATTGAGATAAGAAAGTCAAATTTTTACATAAACAATATTTTCTCTGCTATAATTCGAACATTTGTCTCTGCAATGTAACAAGACGAAAAATGAATTTCTGAGAGATTCCCTCTAAACTGGTCATTAGGGAAATGCTTTCGTGACGCAGAAGACGTATCGTTAAGCCGATGTATCATCGAATTAATTCGCTCGTCGCCGAGCAGATGCGCGGCAGTGATATACGATCGACATAGTCAGACACGGAATCCTCTCCCCGGAGCCTTGACACGACTCATATTTCTGTTTCAAGCAGACGCACCTGCGACGGAAGTTGTAAAAATGGCCTCGCTTCCTCTCTCACGCGTGGTTGACAAATTTCTGTATAATCCCCATCCCCTTTCCGTTGGCCATTATTTCCTTTTAGCATCTCGCGCAGTGCCGTGCGAGTCGGCGCTACGTCTCCTCATCACGTAAATCAACACGAGCGACGAGGCTCTGGCCTCGGTGCAATTTTTCGTTTGCACAGAAAGCTCAGAATTGGTCAACAGCCAAGCACAGCCAAAAGTTTGCTATGTCATTTCGGTGATATTTTGTGAAGAGATTGAGAAGACAAGTTTTGCACCGTAATTTCAATTGAAAAAGAAAACCAAACGAAACGGAATTTTTTAATTTGTGAGGTTTTCTTTCTTCATTAACGTCTAAATTTATTTCTCTTTTTCTTTTCGTTCTTTTTTTCTGTGTTCGAGTCCTTATTAGAGAATCAAGTTTATTTTGTTTTCGCTTGAAATCCTGTAATTGATCGTGAAAAGCTATATATAATATATATAGACAACAAGAGGTAACAATAATGTCGATATTCTATGAGCGTATGTTATCGCAAATCGATGCCGCGAAGCTAATCAGTTGCACGATACTCAGTCATTCCCGAGACGATAGGCGAAATACGCGAAGTTAGTAGAATTTACGGCCTCCCGTATCGATGCTGGAGGCAACCATTTGTTCTCTTCGTGTGCAACTAGACAGGCCAGACACTCGTGGGACTTCCACTAGATAGACCTCGATTACGAGCGGAGCTCGCAATTTCTGTCGGCGTATTTCTACCGACGGTCCATCTTATTCCGAAAACTCCGATACAACCATTCTGATCTTTATCTCGCACTTACACTCGACGTCGTAAAGCTACCTCGACGATTTGTGGAATAAAAGTCGATTCGCAAACTGTCTTTCGTTTCGGATTTTATTAGTCACGAAAAATCGATCAATCCACGAGTAATATAAACGACATGTGAAAATGCATTTTATTTCTATATGCCGCACGCACAAATCTGAGTTTGATTATTACAAATGCAATTTATCTAAAATTCTAATATTTTTTAAAATAAATAAACATATGTAACTAAATTTCTCTTTTTTTTTCTGGTATATGTTGATTTCACTTACAACTTCACTTTTTAATTTAGAAAAAAATGGAAAAAAGAACCTTGAAATTTCTTTGTGGTAATCTTCGAGCGAGATTGCGAAATAAAATTTATATTACATATGCGCGACACAGGAGAACGCACTCAGAAGTTAAAATAAGAAATTGTATGCGAAGAATATTACGTTTTGAATATGTGCAAATAGACGTGACTCACGCGTGTGTACGATGTAGGTGAGGCAGCACGAGGTGCCGCCGGGTAAGCACGCTTTAATACACGTGAAACAGCCACGGGGCCAATTGGTAGCTGTAAGGGCGCGACCAGCTACTCAAGCCGAGCCGCCACCCCGGGAACTGCGTCTCTGGCAAGATTGCGACGTCGTTCAGGTACGTAAAGCTACCGCGAAAATTGGATTAGTCGTTATAAATTCGAGACAGAGACGGAGAAAGAGAGAGACAGAACCTTGCTCGTCGACGACGTGACTCGTCTACCAAACAGCCGCGCGCTGCCTTTGCATAGTGATATCTTCTAGCGGAAGAATAAAATAAAAAAATAAAAAACTAAAATAAAATAAGCGCTGTGCTTTTTTTCGCAAAAACGTCGTGATCGTAGAGATATTTCTATTGTCAGAACTCATAAAACTTGTAAATTGATACAGTGAGAAATAAAAAAAACGCAGTATTTAAAGAAAAAAAAATACGAAGGAGAAATCAAATAAAAGCACAAGTTCAAACCCTCGCGATAACGCGCTATAAGGTTTCCCTCCCGTCTCGTTCGAGGTAGTTCGCTAATACCCTTTTCAAGTTACAAAGTTTTTTTTTTTTGATTAATGATATCAATACACGCTGGAAAAAAATTCCGATGAACTTCAACTAGTTTTACACGGTGCGTCGATCTTTAACGAATTAAACGTCAAAAACACAATCGACATAATTTTTTTTAGTATTTTACTTTCGAACTACTGTTCGCCTACTCTTTGCAAAATCGAGAAATTTGTCTTTGTAGGATTACGTAACAGTGTATGACGGATACACCACCAGGGAGCCCGTGATCCTAAAATTCTGTGGCGGCGGGGAGCCGGTACCGGAGACTATCAGCAGCGGGCCGGAGATTCTCGTGGAGTTTACTACCTCTCCTTATGGCACTTTCTTACATCCGACGCCACCTCATTCCCATTCCCTACATGGATTTCAATTAGAAGTGCAAGTACGTGAGAGCTCTCTCCCCATAAACTGCATAATAGCCACCTTAATTAATGTCTAACTTATCCGCCGCTTCTTAATCACCCACGTGAAATTAAACACTTCAGATACGTAATACACTTTGTGAAAACAGTTTGATTAGATGCAATCTGTCCTGCATTGTAAAATTATTCTTTCGCACGCCTTATTTGATTAATTATTGTAACAAATGACACCTACACGCGTTGATCAAATTAAAAAGGAAAACCCTATATATAGGAAGGAGGAATAAAATAAATGTAATTAATTTCCTATATAGCAGAGTGTGAACTTCCCGAATAAATTATCGCTCTTTTTCCGTATCAACGAAAATCAAAAGTCGTTTGGGTACTCATCCCACCTCGTTGTGATTGCGCATAAAATTTAACGAACCCCTACGCGGGGTAAAATCAACGATATCACCGACGTATTATCCCGTAAAATTTCCTAACGACACACCGCGCGGCGAGTATATACATTTCGCATCAGATAGGACCGCAAACACGCGATCGCTCGGCAATCCGCTCTCGGACACCCCGCAGAGCGCGGTTAAATCGGCAACGCCGAAGCCCGGCACCGCCGAGACTGCACGCGACATGAAACACGCGTCGGCTTTCAGGTCACGTTCGTGGACGCCGAATCGCCGACCTACACCAAGAATAAACGCTGCGAATTCTGGCTGAGGGGCACAGGCGGCGGCGTACTGGCGTCGCCACGTCATTCACTGCCCAGAAACAGCACGTGCTTGTACCATCTTCGTGGCGCGGGACCGGCTCTGCCGAGCCCGACGCCGCCGCGTCCATTGCCCAAGTTCCCGGAGAAAAGACCGGGCACAATTTGGCGTAGGCCGATTGCGCGGCAGCCGCAGCCGCAGTTCCGTGTTTGGCTGTCCATTCTCAAATTTCACGTGGGCACCAGTCTCACCAGCACGGACGAGGATTGCTCGACGACGCTGATGATCTGGGACGGCGAGATGATGCCGCTGTCGGAGTGCAACGATGTTGCCTGGTGAGTGCTGCAGAAAAAATTCGATTTTCTGGAGAATTTGCGGGATTTGTTGCAGGACTTTTTTGCGAAAACCAAACTCTCTTCTCGTTTACAAGATAATAATTTATATATCTTGCCTTCTCTTTCTTTAACGATTCGCTTGAATATTCGATTTATATAATAACACACATCGCCGTTTTTACTATTTATTTTATTTATTATTTTCCATGTCTCTTGACGATTTTCTTCTTAGTTGCGACGTTTGCGATAGAAATTGGAGAACGTTTGTTCCAGTGAGAAGGAGCGTCAACGTTACGCCGAGAGAATGGGCGACTCGAGTCAGTCCGTCTCGCGTCCCGCGAGCAATACCACGCTGCTGGCGAGATACTGCAAGGACAAAGTGCCGAGAACTTGCGATCACGCTATCTTGCAGAACACAAGTCGTCCGTGTTCCTTGGGAGAAAGCTTCGTTTCGTCCGGCAGCAGTTTAACTATCGAGATGCGCATGGTCGAATCGACGGCTCTCAGGCAAGTGTTTAATTGCTAAATCGATTTGTTATCGCGCGGGTGTGCAGAGAAACAAAATTTATACACACCATTTTGTATATTTTATTACAAACATAAAGATATTTGGTTGATTGTTAAGAAAACTAATCAATCGTTCAAACAATCTTCAAACGCAAAAGAAAACCGATCGGGCAAAAAGAAAATAGAATTGTCGCGAAAAATGTCAAAGAAGAGATAGTGGAAGAGCGCAGCATATTTGAAATTTGCACCGACCGGTAGTAAAACGTTTGAAAAATGGCACGCCAACACTCTCGTTGTAATCTCATGTTCCATCCGATTCGCTTACATCGAACTGCCGAAGCGTTACAAGCGAAGTGCGCGTTTTATGGCAATACGAAGCGCAATATCTGCCGTACGTTTCATTCGTGTTTCGCCACCGCGTGCAGCGTGCTGTGTCGCGTTTCGCTCTTCTCTCTCTCTATCTCTTTTATTCATTCTTTTTTTTCTCTTTCTCTCTTCTCCGCACAACCTACAATATATATTCATGAGAGATGATTTTCTCCTTTCCCGTCGTTCCCCACGCGCGAAAAGGAAAGATGGCAAAATTCAGAGGAATGTCGGTAGACGCCGCGTCTTATTTTGCTTAATTTTATATGCTCCTCTTCATCCCGCGAAAAAGTATTACGCTTACTTCTCGATTCGTAATACTCCGTGCGAATGTAGAAATTATTTAAACGAATCTGTGGGTTGCGCATGAAAACCCGCGGGCTATACCTCTCTCTCTGCGCATCAAGAGCCTTCTACTTGGGAAAATAATTTACAAAGCGGAACACAGAAAAAAGAGGTCGCCGTTATATAATCTCAAAGCTCGCTGACAGAAAATGTTAGAGATAAAAATGAACTGCGACGCGCGCATGTATATAACAGTTCTCTCCCATCGAATGTTAATTAAATCGCAATTTTATCAGTCTTTGTAACGAGTTAATCCGTTTAATCAAAGAGAGAGAGAGAGAGAGAGAGAGAGAGCGAGCATTCGCTTTGCCTCCGTTATTTTTCATTTGTTCGCACACGATAATCCCGACGATCCTTCAAAGCGCATGCGATCCCGATTGGCGTTTGCCGATGAATAATTGAGAGAGTCGGTTTTTCCACGACGACGTTCACATCGGAGGTTGACACACTCCGATTCACATTTCGCACGCGGTACATCCGTTTATCAGTTCACGTACGACGTATCTATCGTCGTCCTATCTTCTCTCTCTTTCCTCTTTTATTTTCTAGCAGGTGTCTATCGGTTTGTGGACACGGTGTGCTCGGGTGTGTGATAGTCGACGGTGAGTGACGTGCAATGCGGATGCATCGCACGGTCTAGTTAATCCTTTCCGCACGAGGTAAAACCTACCGGCGCGACGCTTTATATAATAATAAGCTCAGACCCGGTTTAATAACATCCCTACAACCGATAGTGGCAACGTTTCACTTCAAGGCCCCCGGCCGTCTTTCGCAATCCATCGGGGGTTCGTCGATCTTTATCAGTGCATTGAACCCGCATCGTTGCCGATACGTAACAATCGCACGCACGCGATCGTTGTTACCGCATCTCTTCGCAACGTGAACGCAATGTGTATCAGGAATTTTATTACGTTATTTCGAGGAGACTGAACAGACGTTACACACGAAGGAATTTTTACAATCCCGATGTTTGTTTTTGTTGATTTCTTCTCCTGAATACGTATGTGTGTTTGTTCGTTATCAAATAAACGAACTCGACGAATAAAATTCTGTTTCAGACCTGTCAACTTTCGTGCTCTGTACGAATTCGTCGATCTGCACCAGGACGGCGATCCGTACGGCACAGGGCCGTGTTCGCGGATCTTTTACAGTCGAAACCGGGACAACTATCCGGATCGTAAATTCCAGGGACCGCGCGACATATTTCTGTACGGTCGCGGAGGATCGAAAAATATAAGGTAAGATCGCGTCGTCGCCGTTAGATAGTAAATCGAATATATCGAGATCACAAAAATTGAAAAAGAAAACTTTTCATACAACGCACATCTTGAATCTCTATTCGCTGCAATAACAGTATACGGATTGGGAACGTGTATTCGTGAAATTATTATTATATTATTAATAACGAAATTTTTTTTTAAGCGTGTGATCGCGCGCAATAAATTCGTCGAGATACGAATATCATTTGGCCCGTCGTAATTGATCGTTTGCTAATAGACTTACAGCGACAGTTTGTCATTATATGACGTTCTATCGTCGACGTTGGCACCGCATCGATTCGCGAATACCGTCACGAAAGCTAATGTAACGACGTAACGTCGCGATAATAGTGTCGTTAACTCGTTACCATTCGTCAATTTGCGGCGGGCCGTTATTAACGGGCCATTGTGTCGCTTAGGCTGCTTCGTCGTAAAATATACCGGTTTTTTTTTTTTTTTCTACTATCTTTTTCTCGCGATCAAATGATTGGCGGATGACATATTGCGAGAACAGATAAAATCAGAACGCGTCACGCTAAATGACGATTAAAAAATCCGCAGTTGCCGCGTATTGTTCATTCAAGACATTTGTGTGCTAAAATCGTACCTTTTTTGCATCAATTCTCGTTCATCAAATAAGTCGCTAATTATATGCAGTATTTTTCAGCGTGAAAAGCTCATTAAGACCGACCTGTTTCTCAAGAATCGCAAGAAATGATCTTTTTTCTCTCGTATGCGCCGTTCTCGAACGCGATTTTCTCGCAATTCGCAACAAGACGCACGGAATTGGCATTTATTTCCGGCCATGTGTAAAACGAATATGTAGATACACTCCGTCTTTGACGACGAAACGTATGATTCCCCCGTCGAGCGCGTCATTCTTTTATTACTGTCCGCTGAATCGAAACTTCCATCACGTCGATAAAATATCAGTTAGACCGCGACTTTATGACAATCGTAAAATGGGCTTTGTGTCGTTAAACCGAGATCTTTCTACAAATCAGAATTTTGTCCGTAAGATTCGAAAGAGTAACGGTTTTATTTACGATCTTACACATGAAACATATGCGCATTTTGCAGATTTCCGAGATAGAACACGATATATATATATATATTTTTTTGATAGACCGCGGTTTAAATTATTTTAAGAGACATATAATGTTGATTAATGATAGGATATCACACACACCCACAAAACATCCATCGCAAAAGGATCAATTCTATACGATTCAGAAAAATCTGGCAACTGTTATTTGGCCAAGATATTAATTTCCCATTAAGTGTGAGATGAAAGGCAAGAATTTCTTTTTCCGACGAGATAATTGGTATCCGAAAAGAGATCACGAAACTCGATAATGGTGGCGGCGTGTGTTGCCACGCGATCTATAGATCCGTACCCTAGAATCACTTTAGCCGCTTTCCGATTAACGAGCGTTCAACGCGCGCTCGATGCTCCTCGTAATCTTCCTGCAGTATCGATCACTGAAACCGGCTTCTTTGCCTGGCCGGCGAGGCGTGTAGATTCAATTAAGTGCTGAAAGTGCAGGCCAGAACGGGTTTTGCAGCTGCGTGTACCGCTTCGAAGGAGAACACGACGAGGTGGTGAAGCTGAGGTTCAACAAGCTCCTCAATGGGAATCGCACCTGCCGCAGCGTTAGCAGCACCGACTTCAATAGGCTGCTCTGCGTCGGCTCCGAGAACTTCTCGGTTAAGGTGCGTAATTGAAACTCTTGGTAATTGCGATTAGTTTCGTACACGAGCGCTCCGTTGCGCGACCTCCGGCATTGAAAATTAAATTTTGCAATCGATAGGTCACGCTGAGAATCGCGCTGAGAGGTTTGCTTATTGTTAGACATCTATACACATGTGTATGTTGCACGTGTTTTCCAATATCTCATTTTTCCATGTGTGCAAATTTTTATTAGATACAAAAAAAAAAAAAACAAAAAAACACGCACGCAAGAGAAAATTATGGTAAGTAAAAAACAATTTCTTTTGTTTGTTTTTTTTTTTGGTTTGCGAATTACAAATCAAATCGGAAGAGCCAAGCCTCGACGTTACGCGAGCAATAGACTGAATGCGAATTACAGATGCGAATTACAGATACATGATGGAAGTTACGTAGAATTGGTGGTAACAGGTGGCATTGATCGAGTAATTAACAGCGATGGCTTTACCCGTGCGATAGCGAATATCAGCAATCTCTGAATCCAAACACGGAAGATCGAAGTAGGCTCCGAACAGGCTCCCAAGTTTCCAAGTAGTCAATACCGACATGAATCAAACTTAGAACACACGCCGCGATTTGTCTTATTAGTTCGCTGTCTAATAACGCATATACGGCAGTCGGTTGGGACACGACTTCGAGACCGCAATTCAATATCGCGCGCGATATTATTGATCCGCGATTGCAATTCGAAGACCGTGTCCCAAAGTGCGCGCGCAATTCTCATTCTATATAACCGGGAAAACGTTCTAATTACCGGATGTTCGCGAATATCCTTCCTTAGTCACGTTTTGTCAATTAAAACGTGATAATTTGAACGTATTCGAATGATAAAAAAAACAGGAATCAAGGAGCAATCTCTCCGAACGGCTTGTTCACAGGTGCTCGATCTACCCTGGCCGAACGCGCCGCCCATCCAACGTGACTGTCTCTGCTCAAATCGATCGCTACCCATCAATATCAAATCCACCTCTAATATTGTCGAGGTGCATTTCACCGTTCTGTCCATGGACGCTTTGGATGACTACAACAACCTCTTCTTCGAGGGCATCTGGGACTTCGTCAAGACGACACCCTGCATGCAAAAACGCAGAGTCAGGGGACCGTCGGGCGAAATTAAATACACATCACCATCCGAAGATGAGGAGGTAAATATGAGAGAGGAGCTTTAGGATCGCGCTGTAAAAACTCTGTCTCTTAAACATTTTTATCGACCGATGTCGGTTGAAAGAAGATAAATTATGTTCGACGAATGTTCCTACTCTACTCTGACAACGATGTATAAAAAAAATCGTTTAGTTGCAACAATCGTCACTTGATTTCCGACGACACTTGAAAGAGTATCAAATTATCAATTTCAATAGATTTATCTTGTTTTTGAATTAAAACCTTAAATTAAAACAACGAACAAAATAACGACGATTTTTGGCGATCGATTGAGTGATTGTTCCGTTGTTTGTACTTTAATATTCACAGCAGAAGAACTGCGAAGATCAGCCGTGGCTGATCGACCCCGGTCCAAGTCAGTATCTGTATGTGAAACTGCACGGCGTAATCATGTCGAACAGCACCAAGTGCGCGACCAAGAATCGCATCGTCGTGCACACCGGCGGCGCGATTCACGTGTCGGTGTGTCCGAAACCACCTGCCGACTCGCGGCATCACGTGGTGGAGGTGTTCAGCGACGGTTGGGCGGTCAGCAGCAACGCGATGATTCTTGCACCGGGACAGGATCCGATTAGGACCATCGCCGTCGAGTTCATCGTGGAAGAACCGGCTTCCTACACGGTTACGTGGTTGGAGCTCACCCGAAGGTTCGTAACATGACAACATCTATCTTTTCATCGCGCGAATTGCGATTGAAAAATAAAAACTAAGTGTGCAACTTGTTGTCGTTGATGTTTAAAATTAAGAAACATTACATCAAGCATTATCGCGCAAAAAGTCGACGTACGTATTTTCTGATGGTCGACACACACAACAAAAAGCTCGTATAATTGATAGAGTCTTCACGATCTCCTTCTTAAAGCCCTTTCATTAAACTTCGCTGTAACTTATCCGTAACTTTCGCAATCTCTTGCGAAATAATTAATCTCGTAGAAACGAAGATTGCTGCAGTAGATGCGCGTGGTATATCTGCAGTTTTGAAAGTTGCAGAGAGAGAGATCTCTCTCTCTCTCTCTCTCTCGCTATCTACTTTTACACGTAAACAGCGGAGCTAAAGTATACTGCTTACAATGTTCCGCGTCGTTACACAGAATACTCGTGAATTGATAATCTAAAACCTTCGTAAGGAGAAAGAAGATATGGTTGTGAAAGCGAACTTGTCTAAAATCTTTTTCTAAAATATGGGATTATGAAGATGAAACAAATCAGAGCGATGCCGAGAAAAAATAACAACCATAACTTTAGCTTTATCTTTTTCTACTTGTAATAAAAATTCTTAATTCGACACAGATTTAAAAAATATGAACGTCGAAATATGAGAGTCGCGTGGTAGGTAATGGCGGGGCGATTCTGCACGATCTTCTTTCTCTGAAGCGCCGCGCTCGAATGTTTCCTAGGCAAACACCTTAATTAATATCCGCTCGACGTTACATGACCTCGATTGAGCGGAGAGGTTGTCGAGCGACGGCGACGAGTGCGTCGTTACGCAGCGGGAACAATATGACTTCTATATCGATCCTCTCTCTGACCCGCAGACCGTCGGTGACGTCAACAGCGGGCCTGCAAATGTCGCGGGACTGCGAGCAGCGTTGCCCGGAGCTGGACGCATGCATAAACGCCTCGCTTTGGTGCGACGGGGTGTCCCATTGTCCCTCCGGTTACGATGAGGCGCTCACGCATTGCTCGATGCTGCTGCAACTGCCGCCGTTGCAACTGGCTCTGGGTCTGCTCGTCATCATCACCGTCCTCGGCGTGATCGTCTTCATTATCTGGCGGGTGTGCCGACGGCGCGGTCGCCGTTCGATATCCCAGCACCGCTTGAAGAGCATCTCCTCCGAGACGGCGATAATCGACGGCAAGGAAGTGATATGCTGACACAGCGACAGTTCTGTGCGTTACGTCGAGGTCGACCGTGTCACCACTGTGTGACGATCGCCGTCGTCCACGTCGTCGTCGGTCCTCCATAGATCGGCGGTCAGACTCTGTCGCCCGTTGGTGCTTCTCTCCTGAAGCAACCGGGCTTGTCGTCACCGCCGCTGGAGGATCCGCGGAACTGCCTCCGCGTAACGCGCAGAACTGTGTCGTGTACAGGGAGACGTTAGGTGGAAAGAATCGGGGGATTTTTCACCCGCGATATCGGAAAACGCGTTCGATGCTCGATGACTCGGGCGAGTGAAAAAAACGCCTTTTTTTTTGCCAAACGAACGCTTTCGTTCCCGTTATCGGTTGTTCCGGTCGAAAAAAGAGAAAAAGGGAGAGAGAGAAGAGAGAGAGAGAGAAAAAGAGAAAAATGAATCTCTCGTTTTAGAATCGAAGTAACGACAAGTGAGTTGGAAGAGCTGGGCGTTGTCTGATTACAGGGGGATGTGTGTCGAGAATTGTAGAGCAGCGACCGAAGCGAGGATTCTTAGGATTAGAAGTTCGATGATGTCTCTATATATATCGAGTGTAACGTCGAAACGCGGTGGCGTGTAGTAGAACGTCGTGTAACGACCGGATTCAGCGATGTAAATGCACGGTATATATATGTTTACTGTGAATTTTCACTGATTAAATCAATGCTACAACATCATCACCATCCATCACGTGGTATACGGTGCGGATTACTATATTTCGTACTTTCCACGACACGTACTGCCAAAAAAATGCAATTTTCTCATTTGAGACTGAAATTATTATTTGAACTTGAAATTATTCGATAACTTTTTAAGCATAAATATATAGATGTAACGAATTATCTAAAAAGTTCCATCTCTTAATGTCCAATTTCTCGCAAGCGAAACGCGCAAGAGTTTTAGACGTGACGCGTGCAACAGTCACGTGACCGAGTTCCTCTCGCGCGATCTCGATCTCTTTCCGCAGACATCGAAGTAATCACTGCCGCGATTAGCCGCGTTACGTTTCCCGAGCTTTTGATACTTGCGTTATCTTCTCGCGCGCTCGAGAATCTTTACTCTTGTCGTTACACCCCGCGTCGTGACAACCCGCGTGCAAAAGTTTCAAACGATTTCTCATCGAACTCGACCCGCGAGAGTCATTTCGAAAAGTGAGAAGTGGATTAAGAAAAACCAAAAAGAGAGGGAAGGAGAATGAACCACGCGCAACGTAGAATTCAGGCCGCAGAATTCCAAGTGCGAATCACTTTGTAATGAGGACAATAAGTAATAAAAAAAAAAAAAAAAAAAAAAATCCTAGTATTACGTTTCGCTATTACGGTATAGAACGGGCTTAGTGACGATTGAACGACGCCGCGCCTTTGATCGAGAGCCGCGCGATTATAAACGCGACCGTATAAACGCTAAATACCACGGGAGAGATTACATAAAGTGGCGTAACCCCGCGATTGAGCGCCGTAATAAGTAAAACGTTGCGTCTGGCGAGTTTAACAGATCGATAATACGTTGTTAGCGGATTAGCAAGTTATTGCTGGCCAGTTTCACCGACGTCGGTTGACCTTAACCGCATTTTAACGGTTTCGACGGTCGCTAAGTTCAGTGTAGCAAATGTAGTTAAATTAAAGCTGTGTCGAATCGAGAGACAGACGTTGGGGGAGAGATATGAAACGCCGGCTCCGCGTTACACTTCATTTACCTGCTGTATCAATTTAACGGAACTATTTTTAAACGGTCACATACTTTATCCGATCAACAGATATATATATACATATATATATATATATATATATATATACACACACATATATATGCGAGGTGTTTATATTTGATATATCATGAGAGGAAAAACGTTGTATAGCTGAATTTTCGTATAGCTGCCGAGATATATTGTAATAACGTTAATTTTTGCTCAAGGCGCCACGTCGATCCGATTGGCACGTCTTCGACGGCACGAAGAGAAACCACACCCTCGTTCAGAAGTTCCGAGACATCGAGCGTCGCGCGCATCGTTCTAGCACTATAAACGTTAGTTTCTTCTTCAGAATAAGAGTAGAGACATTAAGCGATTCTATATAGAACCGGGGGAGCGAACTTTCGGGCGTCGGTTCCCTTTCTTTTTAAAACATAAAGAGCGCGTGACATGACTCACACGAGAGAAAGAGAGAGAGAGAGAGAGAGAGAAAGAGAGAGATTGTCTGTAAAATATAGGTGATTAGAAATGGACGACGCGCACGTGTCGAGTCGCGTGTCGTCTGCTGCAAACGATTCTTAGATAATTACGAGACGTCGATCGAGGAAAGAAAACACTAGAATATTTGATGCAATGTGTGTGACGTGTTACTTTGTGTTGCGGCCGTGGTTACGCGAGAAACTCCGAAAAATCTCCGCCTATCATTTACTGCCAAAAATAGTCGATTACGTCGCCGACTGCGAAATAATTTTTAATATGTATTACCGTTGCATGTGTTCGTATCATTAATAGAATCTGATTGGTTATTCATAGACCGTTTTTTTTCACATCGGCGGATTATTATTTCATAAGAATCGTATGCCGTAAATACGGTCAATTGCGAAGAACTCTTATTCGTGGTATCATGGCCGCAGATCTCTTTCGGACGTCTGCATTGCGCTTAGGTTGCACTTCAATGTGAGCTAGTTTAAGGAGCGTGTAAAAAAAAGTGTACGAAAAAAATTACTAAATCTCGCCGTTTTTAATCGGCCGGACGAGCGAGAGGAAATTGTGGAAAATTCTACACATGCACACAGACACACACACACACACATACACACAAGAACAAGATATTTCGCGATAAGAGCTTACGGAAGTGCGGTCTCGGCCGACGACGGAGAAAAATTTTCAGCTAGAGATATATTGACCAAGTTTCAAGCGGTATAGCGCGCGCCGACTTCAGGCGACTTAATTACTCACACTTTAGCGATCTCAGAAGAGAAGCGAAATATAATATGTAGACTCTTCAGTAGCCTGAAATTATGTGATAAATATATGATGCTGTTTTCCTCGGAGCTGTGCTCCGACATTATTGTTACGCCGGGCGAACGGCGTCTATCAGTGCGCAGACACATTCGAAAAGCTACTTAATTTCCTCCGTCTCGTTGTACTTCCATCGAAATCGATGACGAGGATACCAGAACGGAGGCCCAGCGAGACGAAGTAAAATATATGACCGAATATATATATATATGTTCACTCGGTCTCGTGCACATCGACGTCACACGCCGCGGCTTGTACACCTTGTTCATATTTGTACATAATCGATTATTTATCTATTTGTATCGATTAACGATGTGTACTTCCGCTCGCACACACTTCAATCCCGAGAGAGCGTACAATTCTCGTTTCAATTATATTCAGCTCGCGCACTTCTGTATAGAGCACTCCTCATAATTTCATGAGCGTTGTTTAACGGTCAATTTTAATGAGCAAATTCGACGAAGCGACGAGTAGGCTTGGCTCCATCTCCGTTAATTAGCGAAGATGTAATTATGATATTATATCAATACAATTATATTTGCTGAGAAAATGGTAAATGTAACAGTCGCGCGCGAGAGAGAAGACGTTAAATAATTTTGAGTCCCAAGGCGCGACACATCGAGGTCGCACCGCGTGTTATCTTTTAAATTTTATAACCAAGCTCGTCGTGTCACAATGTCAAGCGATAAAACTTGGGCATTTACAACTTTGTCTCGTGAGACTTTTAGTATGTCGCGATATGTGTGTTATCAGTTTTGATAAAATTTGCACAAGTGACGCACAACAATTTCAACAAGCTCTCGCTGCTCTGTTTTTTATTAATGTATGCGTAACAAAAAAAAACTTGTCAAATTGACGGAAAATACAAGAAAAATTGTGAGATCTTCTCATCAGTTTTTTGAATTAGGAGCATTTTTAAATAATACGCAAAAGCGTTAGCAGTGGGATTTTTCTTTTATCGCGCACAAATGTGCATTTACACTTCGGTTTTCGTTTCACGTACAGTGCACGTCGATATACTGCGAGCAGAAGTTCGCACTTTGCTGCTTTACTACTTGATAAGTGTAGACCTTGAAAAAAATCACTATAGTGTCGCGTACATTCTCTCGAAACAGGCTGCACAGGAGCAAGTGCAACGAGAAGTTTAAGAAGAATCAACGAAGAGGAACACAACGCGCAAATCAATGCTGAAATATCGCGTGTCATCAACTAAAAAAGTATAACATTCTCTATATTCTACTTGGGAGTGTTTACGCAACAATAATTATGACGTATAAACTGAGAGAAGTAAGAGAGAGAGAGAGAGAGAGAGAGAGAGAGAGAGAGAGAGAGATGTAAGTGTAATAGGTTTTTTAGTCCTTCGAGAAAAAAACATTAAATGAAGACAATCGAGGACAATTGAGTGTTCCTCAATACAACAAAACAAAATTCAACACAAACTCAGTGAAGTGAAATTTAATTTTATCTTCATTTTGTACATCCGTTAAAAAATACTTGTGTGTAATTCTACGCACGTCACGGATATTTTTGTGGCAAAATTGAGATTTATCGCGCTTACATTCTAAGTGATAACATTACGGATTAGTCAGACTACGCGTACTACGCACGTCACTTGAAACACGCAATTGATTACGTCTTGTGTTTAAACAGGAAGACAGCGATGCAAGTTCTTTTTTTATCAAGAAAAGGAGGTCATGCGGTTTTATTATCCATCGTTTTTTTTTTTTTTATATATACTCAGATATTTTTATATCTTGATCCTTTCTCTTCTGTCTTTGTACTATGACGTGACACAAGGTAACACGTTAAACTTGTTATTAAAATGCGGTTGCAAAATTGCTTGATTAAAAAAAGACAAGATTAAAAATATAACATCATAAGAAGAGTGCAACTGATTTGACGTGGAAAACCTCAAGTATTTTTTCGAACAATTTTAAAATAGTTTTGCTCGTGTCATGATATTCTCTTGTTAAATATTGATATTAATTATCTTTCAAATTTATTATTTACTTGGGACCAAAGATATTATTTAATTAATATTCCCTCGGCCTGACACACACACACGCACAAAATGACGTAATCGCTTTGCTTCACGCGAACACGTCTCACGCAAAAATATCGAGATTCTAAACGACTGAGATTCTGTGAGCAGAGAACTAAAGACTGATTATTTACATGTATTTTGCTTCCGTCATTAAACAAAAAAAACCTCGCACTGCCACTACGAAATCTCATTTACGACTGTAAATCGATCTCATTTGTAAATCACTTATTTACAATAAAAATTTCGTAAGTAAAACCACTTGTGCTCGCGCCAAAAAAAAAAAAACAATATTAAGATTACGTAATTTAAGTACAACTTCGACTAAAAAGTACATTGTTCGATCTATTTTATACGATCTCTATAAAAACACTGCGAAAACTTTTATAATTTTAAGTCACGGTTGAACCCGCAATGTAACGATATCGGCTTTAAAGCCATGACCCAGATACGGAGTTATCTTCGCTAATATGTTCCAGCCCGTCGGGGAGAAATTTTTTCCAAAAATAGATCGTCGAAGGTCTTCTTCTAATTACGTTAATCGTTCCCTGACACGAGCAAATTAATTTACAGAGAATGTCGACAGCGCGTAAATAAATGCACTCTAATTACATGCACAATTTATCATTTCCCAATTTATGACAGGAACAATTTTGATTTTCTAAAAGAGAGAAAGAGAGAGAAAATAAAGTAAAGAAAAAAAAAACATTGTCTTAGCAGAACGCAAGCAGTGACCTCCTTTTAAAGAATAATGTGTAACACGCCTGATATCCTTGTAATTGTGTACAATTGCTTCAATTCAAATGACAGAGAAACAAAGAAACAAGTTTTACTCTCTACCTTTTTCAATAATATTTCCCTGTCCTTTAACTTATTTCAGCTAATTAGTAATATTGCACACAAGAGTCTGATGACCGCCTAGATGTTGTGAAAAAACATGAAAAAATATCCGATTATGCGTGTAAGTCGCGTACGCATACTCGATAACAACAAGACTGTGAGAAACGTGTCATCGTGCGCACGTACAGCGCGTACTGTCTTCGAAAATGGTTACATTCCCATATCCGATGACAGTAAAAGTTTACTGGGGGATGCACCACCTGATAATGCACGTCGTATATTGTGCGAATACGACCGCGACGTTATCGCATCGTGTTGGGAGTGGAATCGCGACTTCGACGTTCGCGCATCGCCATTTATTGCCCCGTAGCGCGAAATGAGCGGTAAAAGTTTATTATCGCGCGCGTCTGTGTGAAAATCTGAAAGATTTAACGAGCGCGCGAGTCAAGACGCTTCGAATTTCTCACCAAAATTAATTAACGGCTTTATCCGCCGATTATTATTCGCGCGATTGACAACGCGGTTTTGTCGAAGATTGTTGATCCGTAAGTGATCAACAATTCGATGTTTGAAATTCGCGTGGTGAAAGCTCGTTACAATATCGTTGAACTCTCGAGTAGTTAATTTCGCGCCTGACCTAAACGTCAGATTTTATCAAGAACCGAGCGAAGAAATGAATTCGAGCGATCCAGAATGAATTTAAAATCGGGGATCGCACAGAAGCTGCATAATTACTTATCGAAAGTTGGCGCGAGAGATTCGACGTTTAATCCCTAACTCTCTCTAAGACGGAGATGAAACTTTGATCTAAGGATTAAACGGGATTTTAATGTAGAACGAAGTTATATACGCGTTTAAACGAAGACTTTAAAAACCGTTTATTTTTTAAATATTGCAACAATATTACATACCGTGTCATATGTTCTTCAACCAAACGCAGGCGAATTGCAAACGCGCGTGTTTTATCAACGGTAATGATAACCCACAATATCTCTGCAGATATTTATAGCTACATAGTCCTCGAGAGAGACGCGATTTTAACTATTCGCCGATTTTGAAGAGATATCGCCGTGTAGCTTTTCTCATCTGTAAATATACCAATCGCTGTGCAAATGACCGGAGTAATGCGAGACGAATTTTTCGATTACCGGCTGATTCTCTCATTTCTCATTGCGATGATATTGTGTAAATAAGCGTAAAAGTTCAAGCAATCCTAGATGACGATGTAAATCAAGTAAAGTAATTACTTAGAGACGATTTAGATGTTATTTACTAACGAAAAATGTGTATGTGTGTAAAAAACAATTATACCTGCGACGAGCACAAATCGACGATCGAAATGTCGACTGTCAAATCCATCATAATGAATTGTTGATACAAAGAAAAAAGCGTATGTATTTACTATATTTTTTATATTTATCTTTTCTTTTCTTGCCATCACTTATTTACTATCTTCAGAAGACGGTTTATTTTTATTCTCTATTTTTTTACATACCAGACGCAAAATTCTCATTACTATATTTCTACAAAAAATATCAGTTATGTTAAATTTGTAAAAAAAAAATGATTTTTTAACTTCGTTGGACACGTAAAGGAAAAACAATCAGAACGAGACAAGAATGTCATCTGCGGCGAATTAGTATCGTGCAACGTGGTATGTTTTTGATTACGTAATAAATAGTCAGCTACTACGGTCGCGTGTTTGTTACATTACCTCCTTAATACATTGTCTGCGCGGTTATTACGCAAATGAAACGTTGCAACGAGACGAACGACTTGCGTGATCGCATGTACGTACATAAAATTCTATATTGCCGAGACGCTGCCGAAGATGCGACGATTTATCATCCCGATGTTTCACAACTCATATATTTACAATTAGTCGCGAAAACAAAATGTAAAGCAATTGCTTCAGTTTATCTATTTTATTTTATTTGTTTATCTGTTCTATTCAATTTTTTATTTTCTTCATTTATTCTCTTCTCTTTATTTTTTTTAGTGAAGAAGTTTATGTTATACTTAAGTTCCTAATAAATCTAAATTTGTATCTAGGGCTGTCTTTGAACATCGAGACAAATCACTGTTTGTTATCACGAGTCTTTGCATATTCATCTTGAAATGGTGTTTTCTTTGTATCTTTAAGATGCAAAATTTACTTTTACAAGCGTATAGTTTAGTTTCCGCTTGCGACTATCTTCTATTGACTCGCGTATTAAGTCTAATTGCGCAATCAATTGGCAGTCATTGTTCACGTTGAATCGAGTTGTGCATCCAGAGAAGGCAGCGACCCGAGCCGATGAGTCATTAATGTGTCATGATTTATATTTGAAGTGGTGGCCTTTCCCGGAAGCAAATGCGTCATTTGACGTCACTGGTGTGGTGTATCCGATCCGTAGTACGCATCAGACTATCTGCTGACGAGAACGTCATTATACAACAGACGAGGTGTGCGAGGCAATGTTTAGATCGGCAAAACGAACATCACGCGATTCCGGTATCACGTGATGCTAGGAAAACCAACGATGTGTCACAACATACACACACACACACACACGTACAATTCTATACATGTACATTAATTAATTCACAATAAAATAAGAACAATAACGATCGATCGCCTGTTGAACATATAAATCTTACTTGATCCTCTCCGACACATGCTCACGCGACATGCATATAGTTACTAATTGTACCATTTGCCGCGACTCGAAGTATATTATCGAATATACGCAACATTTTTAATAAATTATTTTGAAGATTGCGCGTGTGATTTTCTTCTTTACAATCCTTCCACATTTCCTCAACCTTCTTATTTTTGTGACCACTTTTGTGACAGCACAGTCATTTTATAGCGCAGCCTGAACCATAGGCGTTTTTGAAAATATCTAAAGCCTGTTCTGCAATACAGTCGTAAGCTGTAAGTCGTAAGAAATTGATCAATCACAATCGATTATTCTTCTGTGATTTGTCTGTGACTGATCAATTTCTTACGATTTACAGCTTACGACTGTATTGTAGAACAGATTTAATTTCTTCATCTCTAAGTTCTCAACTTTATCTAAAAGATAAAGTATATCTTTTTGTATATCTATATCCAGGGGATAGCTACCGGGAGGTATGAAGAATCGAGCCTAAGTAAGAAAAATTTCAGAATTTTCCATATGCCAAGCCTAAAAACTGTTCTCGACAACAGAGTTCAAAACAATTACAAATCGGAAATCACACTAATAAGTCCTAAATAGTATAGCATAAACGTATTGTAATATTGTCACAAACATATATCGTAAATAAAAATTGTTCAAAAAGCAATTGTGAAAAAGAAAATCTGTGTAAAGATTTTGTGAATGAAAAATAAATCATTTTTTAAAACAAACATCGATGACGATTCTTTATGCATCGTAGAATATACTAGCATTTGAGTTTTTTTCTGGATATTTGTTTCCCTAGTATTTTGATCATCTCTGCGTCAATATTTTAATTGTCTTTTAATTCATATATAATTAGAGAATTGTGACTCTTTGTAAAAAAAAATCTTAAAAAAAGTGAAAACTTATATTTGGAGTTTATATTTTGAAGAGACTGTTGTTCCGTGTATTATATAAAACTGTCTGCGTGATTATTTTCCTGACTATGATTGGTAGTTGACTAATGTTGACTTGTAATGATTAGTACGTATTAGAGTGACGTGCATCAATAGTGACTTGTAGAAGACAACGAGTTGAAGCACAGAGCTATTTTTGACCAGAATGTTCGATTCTAAGCTCAGAACTGGTAGTATTCAACGGCGAACTGGTAGTATTCAACGGCGCTAATAATATAACAATTTTCGGAAAACAAATTCCAATTACTGGCTATGTACATTGTGTTGCGGTCATGTCTATTCTTGCGGTCTTCTAACAACTATTCGAATGAAATTGCCAACGTGACATCAAGATTATTTTAATTTCAACTAAATAATTCCATTTGAGCATTAGCAAGCAGCATAACTCATAGATATTAGACAATAGATATATTACATTTATCTAAATATTCGCACGCATTTTTACACGTCCGGCGTCCGTATAGTTGTCTTTTAGTTTCTATTGTGTTGTTTCCGCAGGATTTTCAGTGACGTCAATTGTCAAGAAAGAAACCTGTATTTCCCCACCACCGGATCTGACCTTACCACTGCCAATTATATAGTCCATCATTCTCTCTTCGTTTCTCTAGCACTGTGTCGTGCATCTCTTGTCATTCTTGTGACACGTTTTGTAGGCGGCGGTTGGCAGGTTAGAGGCGTTTTGTTTCCTGATTAACGCGTATACGTCATACAAGAAACCTACGGGATTCAACGAACAATCTCAGGTGAGCTGGTGACGTCGGATTATAAAATTCAGCGTTGTACGTAGTTCATCTTCAGTGTGTTTCGGTGTTTCGTAACGAGAAGACATTAGCGACATTTGTGTTCAGTGGGCGTAACCAATCATTCGTTTCGTTTATCCTTGTCAAGGTGGTTGTCCTTCACTTCTTCGTTAACTTGTCATAATAATATCGATAATAATTGCTGTAAATATTATATGTTACATTCATATTACGTTGTTTATTTTCAATGTTTGACTCTCTTGCTGTATTAATATAACAAATATCACAGTTAATGTGATGATAATTAACGAGAATATACACGAATTACCATATGGTCGGTTCTGTGATTCAGCGTAAAAACAAGTTTTGTAAATTTGTATTTTTCGGTGTGTGCAGGTACCTTCAGTGTAACAGTTTAACTCTCGAGCAGACAAGATGAGCTACGGTTATCAAGTGAGTACATCTATTTTATCACTATTGATTAAAGAACTTTTGTTTTTTAATAATATATATGTTTCACTTTCATATGTTTTTGAATAAAAATTATAAAAGTTTTTCTCAGTTGATATACAATTATATCAACTGATATAGCAATATACAAAATCAACTAACAGTTTTTGAAAATTGGCTAACAGCTTTTTAATCAAAGAAAGTAGACAAATCTTTGCACAGAATTGCTTTATATATTTCTTTCTTTTATTTACTTTATTTAAACCTTCACATATCCAAAGGGGCCACCTGTTCAATTCCCGAGACGAGCAGGACCACCAACATCATTTGGGGCTCCATCTGGTACACCCTCTGCCCCTGGTGCTCCGTCTTATCCTTCAATGGGCTTCCCAAATGCACCACCAACATCTTTTGGCATGCCTCAACCCTATAATCCTTATCCAACTCAAAATCAGTCCATGCCTGTTCCTGGCGGTGCCACCAATGTGTATCCCCCGCAACCTATGCCTATGCCAATATCCAGCAGTTATTCACCTAGCACACATTCTAATTATCCTGTACCATCTCCGCAACTTATGCCCACACCTAGTTATCTACCTAGCATGCATTCTAATCATTCTGCACCCTCCCCTTATCCACAGCAGCAAACTGGTAATATGTATCCTGATCTCTATAAAGCACCAGATAGAGAATGTTTCAGTAGCATGGCTCCATCCTCTTATCCTTTGCATGCAACTAGTTCTGTTCCATACCAAGGCGGAAGCTATCCCGGGGGGCAGGGGGTTGGCTCGTATTCTTATTCTGCTAATCCACCTACTGCTGTTCCACGTGGTGCTACCCCAGCCCCCCGAAGAGATCGGTTTACGCCTAAGGTGAGATCAAGAATGATGTTTAAAACTTGATTAAAGTTCTATCGAGATGTGATGAGTTTTGTGTTTACAGGTTCTTGCTTACGAATATGCTACAGTAATTGCAATAATTTCTTATATCTTGATGTGAGATTCTTGTATTACACAAACTTTATGAAAGTTGAATATTATTTGTTTTCAGACTTCCCCTACTGTTGTGCCTTACGATGCTTTCGATGCTCGGGCTGACGCGGAAGCTCTAAGAAAAGCTATGAAAGGATTTGGCACCGATGAGAAAAGTATCATACAAGTTCTTGCCAATCGCAGCAATTTGCAGCGTCAAGAAATCGCGTCCCAATTTAAAACTCTTTACGGAAAAGTAAGAATTGAAGGTCAAAACTTTTGTTACGCGAACTAAAACAAAAATATTATTATTGTGTATTTCTCAATTGATAGGATCTAATAAAAGATCTGAAGTCCGAGTTGTCGGGAAATTTCGAGAAACTCATTCTTGCCATGATGATGCCACTACCTCAATATTACGCCAAAGAACTTCACGAAGCTATGTCTGGTCTTGGTACTGATGAAACTGTGCTCATTGAAGTATTGTGCACTATGTCCAATCATGAAATTTCTATTATTAAACAGGCGTACGAAGCGAGTGAGTTCATTTGAGCAAATCAACTTTACAAAATAACATTCACATTTCTATCCTATATTCCATTCAATTATGTAATATCTATTTGCGTTTCAGTGTACGGAAGAACATTGGAAGACGATTTGATTTCTGATACATCTGGCACTTTCAAACGCTTAATGGTGTCGCTGTGTTGCGCCAATAGAGATGAAACATTCAACGTAGACCACGCCGCCGCGATGGAAGATGCTAAACAACTTTTACAAGCTGGTAATTGATGACAAATATTTAAATAGTCTCGGTATTATTTTATGTCTATATTCATTTTATTTGTGTTTCACATTTTTCCATTTTATCTAAAATCATCATTTTTTTTCACACATTGCAGGAGAGCTTCGCTTCGGCACAGATGAATCTACCTTTAACGCAATTCTTGTCCAGAGAAATATGGCGCAGTTGCGACAGATATTCATAGAATACAACAACATAACAGGTCATGACATTGAAACAGCCATTGAAGAAGAATTTTCTGGTGACATCAAAAAGGGTCTTCTCGCGATTGGTAAATATAACAAATTGTGAATACGATAAAATGAATACTGGACTATTTACTGGAACACAAATATCTATCCAACAGTAAAATGCGTCAAGAACAGAGCCGGTTTCTTTGCCGAACAATTGTACAAAAGCATGAAAGGTCTTGGAACGGACGACAGCCGCCTTATTCGATTGGTTGTGACTCGTAGTGAAATAGATATGGGTGAAATAAAGGGCGTGTTTTACCAAGAATATGGACAGTCGTTAGAAGATTTTATATCTGTGAGTTATTCAACATCAGAAAATATCTATTGGGACAATTAGATGTGTCTGTATACTTACCTGCATATTTACGTTGTGATCTAATTTCTTTTTTTTTTTTCAGGGTGATTGCTCAGGGCACTACAAGAAATGTTTATTGGCACTAATATCTTAAAATATTTTTGCAGTCGCATTGTTCCATTGCATTTATCATTTATCTGTTTATGTACGATACATAAGACGTCAAGGTTTTAATTTTTTTTAATGCGCGTTTTAATTTTTTTAAATATGTTCTACAGATACACACGGGTAAATAATTTTTTACACACAGATGACTTACATGTACGAATTTTGTATCGTACGTAGTATGAATACTTAACTGAGAGATTTCGTAAAATTTGACAGTTTTATGTGTCTACATATATGCGTAAAATTTTTGGTTAGAAGTTGATGAATAAGATTAAAACACGTTCTTTGCGCACGATCATCTCTGATCTTATAAAAGTAACAAAGAGTAAACATGTATGACATACGCGTTTTTAAAAACTCAATATAATTTTTTAAGTTTTAAGTTAGAGTTTAACATGTAATCAATAAGAGAGTCTATAAGGAAAAATGGATAATTTAAAAAAAAAAAACTCCAATTTATATACACATACACATTTAAAACTAATCAAAATTGAATGTTCCTATATCGTAAACGCCTATAACACGAAATATAACTTTGACAGATGAAATTTGACGGATGAAAGTTTCGATAACAGCGTGCCAATATGTGTATTTTATAGAACGAATCTCATATAAAGAGATTTATAATATGTAAAGAGAATCTCGCGCAGGAATTGTCTATAGCTTTGTTACTTGCTCTATGAAAGAAAATATATATTTTTTGCACTTTATATTAAGAAACGATACTTCAGAACATTTTGTAAAAAGTATTTTTTATGATATATTCATGTGTATGCGTATTTGTTCATACACATGAGAAAGATAATATTTTCTTGCATACAATATGTGTTACAGTATTTATAAAATACTGAGTTGATGTAAAAAAAGGAGCTCTATTTTATATATACATATATATATATATATATATATATATATATAACATATACATATATTAAAAGAATAAAATGTTATATATTTAACTTGTGCGCGTATATATGTATGTATCTTATCTTGATTCTTATATTTACTCTATAAATAAATTTGCATAAATAAACTTTTTAATTGATATAAATCAAATTATTCTTTATAGTTCTCAGCTATCACAATACTAACACCATTAGAAACTGTTAGAAACCCACAACCATAAAATTTTACATACACGCGCGCGTGTATATAACATTTAATTAATAATAACACACATACCTGGAATTTATTGTGGACCTTAGAATTTTAGATCCAACAAGGAAGGGATGCGGGAGGGATTAAGATCGTTTCTCGACACTCAGCAATAGCCGATACCAAAAACTATGACACCGCTTATAACAATGACAATCGGATATTACTATACACTATTCTTCTTTTGTGATAAACATTCGCAAAACGTTTTCGCCACTATTGCGTTAATAATATTCACGAAACCGCACAAAAACACCCGCGTAAAGTACGAACCAGCTCGATCCGCGCGCAGCCGCTATTTGGAACTTTTGTAAAATGCTTGCGATTCTCGAAGTATCGAATATCGATTGCTGATGGGCGATACCTCGATACCTCGATACCTCGATACCTCGACTGTGGGTGTATTTTAAGATTTGATACGCATGTGGACCGAAAACGATTATTTCATACTACTTACCGCTCTAGGTCTAGAAGCTATATGCGCATCAAACTATATAGTTTCAACTATAGACTTTATAGACTGTCGGATATCGTCACTCTTCCTGTCGTCAATGCTGCAATATATTTTTAAATAAAACGTCAACAGTAAGCAAATCAACCAATCACAGGTCAACATTCTTTCAAATGTAGCTTACGTTCCGGATATTGTTGGCTCGTGATTGGTTGATTTGCTTGCTGTTTATTGCTGCTTTTTTGCACTAAGCCGCCATTAACAATATATTTATGAACTATGTATTCGTTTTATGCAAAGTCGAATTCTGACATGTAATAATCACGTGTAATAATTAGTTCGAGCAGTTTTTTAATCATTTTGCACGTGTCGAGAGGAAATTTCTTATAAGATCAATAAATCATTCGTGTATCCACTCTCTGCCTGATACGACAAATAAACATCGTAACAATGTCAGTCTCGTGATAAAGTAGCTTTTGAAGCTGCATTATCAATTATAATAAATCTTGCGAGAGAGAGAGATAGAGAAAAAGAGAGAAGTAACTAAGCGCGGCATATCATCACGAGATTCGATTCGAATCGCTTGTATGTATATCTCTCCGAAATGAGTAATGAGAATATCAAATACACAGTTCTGGTGACCGGTTTTGGTCCTTTCGACCAATATAAAAAAAATCCTAGTTGGGAGGCAGTGAAAGACTTGCTGAGCCTATGGAAGAAATACGAAGAATTTCCAAATTTTCAATTAGTCACCGTACAAATTCCGGTCTCGTACGAGTGCGTATCCACTTACATTCCTCAGCTCTGGCAACAATACAATCCCATAGTAAGTATAAATGTACAAAATTACATTTTCGCAGTACGTTGTTTCTCAAAATAATCTTTGTGTGTTTAGATTGTTCTACACGTAGGGGTGTCGAGCAAAGCTGAGTGTTTGACAATCGAACGTTGTGCTCACAGCACTGGCTACAAAAGAATGGATGTAGATGGCAAGTGTCCTGATGAAACCTATACAGAATGTTGCGTCTTGGCAACGCAGATAAATGTCGAAGAACTTTGTCATATAAATAAAGATCTTGCACACGAATATATAGCCTGTTTTTCAGACGATGCCGGTAGATATCTGTGCGAATACATATACTATAAATCTCTCTCTATTAATCAAGCAAAGACTTTATTTGTGCATGTTCCGGATCTTTGCAAATCTTCAAGCATGCACACTGCAAATGACTTATACAAGATGTTGAGTTATTTAATAAAAACTTTGAAACATAGTTAGAATTTTATTTTTTGTGCGCAGCAGATATATGCTCGAGAATTTGCAAAGTACAATAATATTCAAACACTTGTACAACACTGCGCGATTGATATATTATTTACATGTAAATACCTGTAAAACTAAATTTTTATAATTCCGTAGTATGTAATGCTAATGATATGCATTGTGTGAAGATTTTTACGTGTATCATATTTGGGAATGTACAAATACAAAATGTGATTTATATACATAAGATAAAAACAAATACATTTTGTTTTTGCATTAAAAATGCCTAATATTATTTAATACAAATGCTGTACTGTCCAATTATTTATCTCATCCGTTACAACTCATGATGTAAGTTTAAAACTTTGTTCGCGCGGGTGGAATATTGTATCTGATTTCCATGGATTCTGGTTTTCTGAGCAATCGTGCCACGTGTCCCATCTGAATTGTACAATCGGGATTTAGATTCGGTGGCAACAATGTACATTCTCGCTCCAAGATACACGCTAATCCTTCCAATAATTCCACAAATCCTATTGACACCGCTGCGCGTCGTAACCTGTTCACCTCCTGTAAAATCGCAAAAAGAATCGATCATTATTACTCAAATCGTACAAAATACTATGCGCGTTCTTTTCTTTACATTTTACCTTGTAAAAGTTTTGCGTTTTCTCCGGTAATTTTCTCGCGTGTCTCAGTATTTTTTGAATATCCGATTGCAAGCCAACTTGTCGAATCCACGAAGGAGCATTTTGCGTGTAACTTCTCTTTTCGGTTGGCCTGACTGGAAAATCGACTACTAAATCATTGCTGGAATCCATTGGACCGAGATTGTTAAAGTCGCCTAACCACGGTACCACATCAGATCCTGGTTCGAGTACCGTTAACATTAAGTTAGATTTCTTCTTGGTATCTGCCCATGAATATATAAATCCGTACCAATCATTGTTTAACAAACAAAGGGCTGCCATATTTTCTACCTGCAAGATATATAATTTGTCGTTCAGATCATATCAAAAAACTAATTACTGTAATTACTTGTGAAAATATTACTTTTAATGCTCCGTGAAGCAGCACACAAAAGGATGGTATTTTTCCCTCATCTCCGTTCTCGTCAGTGTCCGAATCTTCTTCTAGAGATATGCCCTGAACGCTCGAAGTTTTTTCTGTAACCAATGGTAATACCAAGTGTCTAGAGATAGAACTTGGACTACCAACATCTCTCACTTGTATGAATCCGCATATCTCAATATTCTTTGATATTACCAAACCTGGCTCTAATTCAAAATCAGTCTTTTTTGTATAAGGCTGAAATAAATAAATAAATAAATGTACAAAATGTGATTATTCCTTACGAGCCATAGTATGTGAAGCTTGATATTACCATAGGAGCTGGTGATAATAAAATACGGGAACCTAAATTGCCACACTTTAGATATCCTTGAAAGGAAACATAATTTGTTTCAGCTAGCTTCTGGAAGCAAGCTGCTACAGAATATTTATTAAGTGGCGACTCTGGAACCAATACAACACTGTCATTGCCAGCTAGATCAACCAAACGTTGATAAAGAGGTAGGCCAATTTGCAAACTGGGATCTAAAATTATAACAATATGTGAATAAAACAAAGTAAAAGTAATAGTTCAATAAGAGAAAGATACTAAATACCAATGAGTTTTTATTTACCTTGTTGTGATCCAATACAGACTATACTCAATTTTGCTGGAAATGGAAATGGAAGTGGAAAAGTATTTGCATCTTGTGTGATATTCAAAGAACTTAAAGAATGACCTAAGGACATTGGCCCTACTCCAGGATTGCCATCTGTAATTAGTATCACTTGACAAGCAGTAGTGTTACTCCATTCTGCCATAATTATATTATTAACACCACGTAATGCACTTTGGATGCATGTCTTGTCCCATTCCTCGATATTTTGTAATTTTGCACGTATGCTGTCATAATCGCGAGTAAAAGGACAAACCACTTCGTACAATGATGAAAATATAATCTGGAATTTGATATACATATATATATATATATACATGCAAAGCATTTATTATAATAACATATTTATTATCCACCACAACACAATATAATATTTATGCCATGTCTTTCTTTCTCACCAATGAAACAAATTCCAGCTTCGAATTAACTTGTAAATATTGTAATAGAGCGTTTATACCGTGGACCGCTAAATGACGCCGTGTCAGTGGTTCATTCTGTAAATTATCGTTCGCTCCATTTGTTAATACGGGTCTTCTCATTGACAAAGACACGTCTAATGCAATAACAGTCGGCATTTCGATACGTCAGCGAGAGAAAACAAAAAACTTCGATCAAATCCACCAAATACTAGAAATATTTAAAAATCTTGTAACATGTTTATTATTAAATAATACTTTGGTAATTTACTCAGAAAGAATAGCTGCTTAGTCTTAAGTATCGACGAGTTTATGCTCACTTGACGCAGTTGTGCGTAAAATGAAAGAATTTAACAGGAAAAAGTATCGATCTAATACAGCACATATTCACATATAAATTTGGTGGACAAAGTTTTTTTGACTTAATTGAATAATTGTCAACTTTAGCGCTCAATAACTCACTTAGCAAAGCAAATTGAGCACTTCTTTCCTACCAGATTCTTTTGATTATGCGTCAAACAAGCATAAACTTATCAATATCTGAGACTGAGTAGCTATTTTAAATAATTACCTAGATTTTAATCTGTATTCATTTTATTTATTTCGTTTTAATGTGTTTCTACCGAATCCAATCAAACCGTTAAAATATGACACTGTTTAGGTTAGGGTTCGGTTGGGTTAGGAAATTTGTTATGCTTACAAGCCCCTCTAAAAACTATTTTTTTTGCAAGAAAAGTTTCATGTTTTCTCTCTATTACAGGTCTTTTTTTTATAACAAAAAACACTTTTGACATTATATATCATACACATGTATATTTATCTATTAAAATTTTATTTACAAAAATAGAAGAAAATCTAGTAAAATATATTTGAAACTTATATTACAGCATGATATATATTTCTTAGATTTACAAAAACAAATTTCTCCTATAATAGACATATCACATTAACTTATGTTGTCCATTGATCCAACACTATTTGTATAATTTGAAATCAATGCAAAATAATATTTCTATACTTTATAACTCAATAAAATAATAACTTAGTTTTTAACAATCTAAACATACAAAGAGCCATCAGCAGGACCTAAATATCTCATAGAAATCAATATTACATCAATTAAGGTCCACACACCTAATCCACCAAAACTGAAGAGCTTGCCAATGCCTTCTTGCCAATGTCCCAAGTAAAACCTATAAATTTTAATAAATATTTGTGAAAGAAAAAACTGTTGCATTTAATTAAAATTTAACTATTTTACAAAAAGTATATTGTTGTCAAGTGTAGTTAATTTTATGATAAAGTTATTTCATCAGTTTGAGAGAACTAAGATCACATTGGATCAGCCTTTACATATAAGACTAGCAACACTCAACAATAATATACTCATTGTAAAACAGATTTTATAACTAAATGTTATACAATAGAAAAATACCTATCTGCTCCAAATCCTCCAAGTGTAATGCTCAAGATCAGAGCTGTAGACCATCTATATCCAACTGTCCAGTTACAAATCAAATTTTTCATGAATCTTCGCCTGCCCAGACATAATATATCGCTATTTACTGTACAATTTGTTCTACAACAAGAATATTTCATCAAAACTGTTGCAATTTAAATATAATGGAATTACGACCGACATTAACATACCTGTAATATTGTTGTGGTGATGCTACAGAATTACAATTATTTTTCTGATGACACTGATGTTCCGAGTGATCAGTTTGATAACAATAACGGCATATATATTTTTTTGTAAAAGTTTGTTCTCCCTGTATTGATAGAATAGTTCAAAATTTTATTTAACAATAAATCATTATACCAAATATATATGTATATATATATATATATATATATCATATACATGTGTGTACATATGTATATATATACATATTTCAATATATATATAATAAAGACATTCTAATATTAGTTATATACTACATACTATACAATCAACATGTTCTATCACAGAGCAGTTAGCAACTAATGTTTCACCATATACACAAGTGTAACTTAAATTGCATTTCAGACAGTCTGCACTCAATTTTGTACACGATACTCCACTTGGACACATACTATTTACTTCTTCCTGTAAATTAATAATGTAATTCAATGCAATGTATATGTGATCCAATCCTATATTTATATGCTTTATGTATATGCACATGGAAAAAAACCTATTGAATGTTTTATAAATTTACTTTTTTACTGCTATAAGCTGGTGTTGAATTTACATTGCCTTCTTTCATAGCAAAGGTGCTTATGGTTTCTGCAATTGAAAAAGATAAGTCTTTTCTTCATTTTTTTGTTTATAAGGCACTTAAAGAGACAAATTTACTCACCATGGCCCATATGAACTTCTTTGATAGAGGTTGACAGAAGCGCTATAAAAAGAAATATTACATTTTTCGAATTGATTCGCACGATATTCATTCTGCGTGAAATCTTGTTTCACCGAGAATTAAATGCTAGTCGAGAAAAACTTGCTATCCCAATTCTCACATTTATTTGTTTATTTATGAATTTAAAATCGCGTATATATAAATGCAAACATGAAGTTTTCTATTTTGTTCCAGTTGATTGCATATATCATATCTGTAGTTGCGGTCAAAATAACGCTGCAAATCATTCGAAATATTATTCTATCTTTGTTCTCTATATATACTACACATTCATTGCTCGTATCTAACAACCTGTAATATATTAGGGTGCAATTACATGTAGTCCAAAAAAACGGAACGGACAAGAGTTTTACACTGTGTTTACATTGAACTCAGTTTAGACCAATACGGGCGCGTTCAGCAATTGCTGAAGTATCGTCTCAATAATCGACGTTGATTTGTTGGTTTTTAAAATAAGAACCAATCATGGTTGACTGCTATAAAAACAGTTTGTTCTACTAAACATAGAGAGCGTTATAAGAAAATATGTGAGATACAGGTTTCTTCTCTGACAATGTTATGCTTCTTACACTCAGGTGATCCAGGTTGCTGCATAGCGTTGATGAGATTGAGTCGACAATCGATGTTAGCCGGTATGATATAAACAATATTAAAAGGGTTGAAAACCTTTATTTAAGACTGATTGTAAATTAAAACAAATACATAGACAGAAAAAACAGTCCAAATACTTAATTTAGCTGCACAAGGTAGCTGCAATCAAACACGTGCTAGCAATTGCGAAACACATGTACTATAATGCCACCATACAATACTGTGTTTAATATTTCATTATAAAAATAAATTTTATAACACACGTATGTATTTACAGGTATGTATTCTCTATTTTATATTCAAAAATAGCACTTAAAAAAGGACAAATTGTAGGAAATAAGAGAAAAAGAAAAAGTAAGTAGAGGTTTTTGAACCACAGAAGAGAAAGAAAAATACGAAGATATTTCGAATGTATATGTTGCTCTAAGGTAAGAAAATTGTTGCTTTTGATAAATTAAGAAGTCACTATCCATTACTATTTATATATGCACACATTTATAGATAAAAAATTAGATAAAAGATTTTTTCAATATGTTGTATGATTTTGCAATAAAAAAATGTTTTTAAGACATATTTAGGTAAAGATACTATATACTAGTAGTATTCTTGAGATATTCCAGAATTGGTCACTGAAACAATACTATTCAGCGCAAGAAATACAGGACAAAATATTGGAAAAAAAAACAACTATAAATGTCAATAATTTACTACAAATTACAACATGGACTACAAAAAATATTATAAATATGAAAATAATATATATCACTTACATTTTTTAAACAAAAAAGGACTAAGACTAAATGAAATAAAAGAAATATGTTCAGTTTATGGAAAAACTGTATGTATATTTGAAACTGCTGACACCTATGGCATGAGGTTTATAACATTTAAAACAGAAGAAGAAACAATAAATTGTATAAAAGGATTAAAGGGCCACAGCTTTATAGAATTACTGCCAGAGAGAAAATTTCGAAACACGAATGAAAAAAATAAAAAAGGTAAAAATAGGTTAAGCTGAGTTATTATAAAACTACATAAGAAAACAACAATAATACACAACACAACATTTAGACATAAATGTTTCCTAAAAACTGATAAAAACTTACAATATAAAAGATTTAAAGCGTGTTATAACTTTCTAGATACTGATTTTACCTCAAATTGTAATGAAAATGCAATTAATGGAGAAAGAAACTCATTTATGTCTGAAAATTTCGTACAAGATCTGAAAAATGATTCTTCGGGAGAAAGAGAATGGGAGAAGTACACTAAAATAGATAAAGATGGAAATTATTGTTTACATTTTTATGAAAACAATAATCTTAATAAAAAAGAAATAGAAAACATTTTCTCACGTTATGGAAATGTTATGTCCGTTGTATTTGGTCATAAAAATGGGATTGACACTAAAATCCGATTTGTAGCATATAAAACAGTAAATGAGGTAATTAACTGTTTGAAAGGCTTACAAAACAATAAAAAAATAAAAATACTACCACAAAAGCATATAAATGAGACTAAAACAGGACTGAACAAATATAACAAGAAACAAACTAGAAAACATTTAAATTCTGAGCAAGCAGAAGAGCAACAAGAAATGATAGAAGAAAATACCGATGCGCGAAACAAAATACCGTCATTATTGTCAATCAAAATACCGCCGTTAATTTTAGACGACAATGTATCAGTTCATCCAGAAATAGAGCATGGAGAAATTAATACGAAAAAATCTCTTCAAACACAATCTGTGAATGATTTGTCTGCCGGTAGACAAAATATTCCATTACAAGAAGTAATTGTTGCCAACATCCACGAAAACTATGGTACACCTTACATCTTGCATTTGCTTGAAAAATATGGACCTGTTGCAGCAACATTTGTGAAAACAACAAGTAAGGAAATACGATACTGTATAGTTTACCTCAAGAGTGTTCAAGATGCGGTAGCTACGGAAGAAGAGTTAGACAATTTTTGTTTGTCTGGGAAGAATCTGATTGTTCTACGACATTCTCGCCTAACAAGAGAAATTATGAATACATAATTATTTTCTTAGATTAAAATATAAATCATTGGTGAGAGCACATATAATATTTTGATCTCCTTGAAACACACACATCACAATTTACACACAAATATATTTACATTTTCAAACATTTACATGTTTTTATGTTACTGTTCTATATGTTGCATTTTTCTAATTGTTGTGTCTTTGTAACTTTTTAATGTGCACGTAATTTGAGATAAAAAAAACTTTTTCTAAAATAGGCTCATTAATTATAGTATATTATAGGGATGATCAGAAATTATCATTATGTGTAATTTGAGAAAATTAATGTGAGAAAGACATTTTACATTTTTTTATGTTACTATTCTATATATTGCATCTTTTTAACTTTTTAACATGATAATTTTGAATAGAATAAAGAATGAGGTTAATTTTAATGAAATTATCAAATTATAATTTGAGAAAAATAAGTAACAATACTAATAAAAAAATCTATTTGTATGTCTAAAAAATAAAAGTTTGATTTCTTTTTATACAATCCTTAGACGTAGTTTTCCAACACTTACGTTTTGCAGATAATATATCAAGTCAAGTGAAATATCAAGAGATCTTTATCAAATCTCAATTCTTGTAAGAATAATAAAATTGCCTTATTTACATGTGTAATACAGGTTGCGTTCCGAGTTACGCATCTATAGTACACGTTACGTATAATATAGATAAATGCGCGCATATGCGTGAAACGGAACGCAATCCTACTGTATACGTCTTAGGAGGTTTGACTGTATCGCGTTCCATTTAGGCCTGTTCTACAATATCGGAACGCAGCCATAATTGTAAGCTGTAAGTCGTAAGAAATTGACCAATCACAGACTAATCACAGAAGAATAATCGATTGTGATTAGTCAATTTCTTGCTTCTGACTTCTGATTTATTACTAATATCTCATTGTAAATGACCCTTTACTTACTTATTTTATTACACATGGTTCATGCTCTTATGGACCTGGCCGCTTTCATGCTTCTCTCTGCTGCTTACATTCGACCGGAATACAATTGTATATAGATTTGGAACAATAGCTCAACATCTTTAGGGTTAGTATGCCGACTCATATGTTGTATTTAATACAATTTGTTCATTAATATTAGAATAAATAAAGTTATATTTTTGTTATGTTAGATTAGGTAGGTTAGGTTAGAGGTTAGATTTAGTTTGTAAATATTTAGATTTAGTATGTTAATATTTCCTCATTACTAGTCATACATTTTTTAATTGATATTTCTTTCGTTGTGTCTTTTATTTTGCTATATTATATACATAAATATGTATTATAGAAAAGATGCAATTAACAATGGAATCAAAAGGATTTGATAAAAAGACGATGCGACAAATGCTTTTAACAGAAGACGAATTTATTTCACAAATATTCTCTATTACATCTTTTCCAAAACGTGAAGCAGGTAAGAATATTGTTGATATGTCATAATGTTTACATATATTCAAGAACTTTACATATATCAAGAACTCAGTATTTTTACGATTAAACTGATATTTTGTACTTTTTAAATGCAGCAGGACAAAATAATTCATTGCAAGAGGAAAAATCAACAAAAGAAGGTTATTTTTGTATTTGTACAGAATAATGGATAAAGTGTGCAGAATTTAGATATTTTTGAAAATTTCTTTCTTATTTTCTTTTATAACAAAAATGCATATATCATAGTTTACTAAAATATGGAAATAATAGTTAAAACTGAGAGGCTGAGTAATAATAATACTATATAATGTTCAGATTATTTAAGATATCTATTCTGCATATTTTTAAAAAATCTATTGTGTGCATAGAAAATTTGGTATTCTCTCCGATACTGCGAATTATATTGCTGATTGTATTTTTTCAGTTGAGCCATTTACATTGCTAGGTAGGAAAACAAAGCGGGCACAAACTTTTGAGGAATTACATGCCAAACTGCAAGAATTAAAAAGTGTAAAAAAGTTAGATTATAAACAGAAACTTCTTAAAAAGAATTTGAAGAATAAACTCAAGAAAAAGAAAACAAGGGAAGAACGTTTTTTACAAAAAAAACTCGCTAGAACAGAACAGAACGCAGCTGGTGGTAATAAAGCAAAAATTGACAATGAGGAGATGCCAAAAGTTCCGAAACCAAAACCGGTGTTTAATTCGGAAGGCAAAATGGTATTTAGTAAATTTGATTTCTCTGAGATTGGCGTGAAGAAGAAATTACCGAAAAACGACCCCAAGAAGATGTTACATCAATTACAACAGAAAAAAGAAAAATTGAAACAATTAGAACAATCTGGCGATAAAGAAACAGCTGATAACATTAGAGAGAAAGATGCATGGAAATCTGCATTGTTAAGAGCTAGTGGTGAAAAAGTATGCACTTGATTTGATATATTTACATACATGTGTAATATGTATATATTGACAACTTTATATTTATTAGGTTAAAGATGATCCTGAACTGCTGAAACGTTCCATGAAACGAAAGGAACAGATAAAGAAACAGAGTGTACAAAAGTGGAAGTCCAGAATAGAGAATACACAGAAATCTATACAGGAGAGACAAGAGAAACGACGAGAAAATATTATGAAGAAAAAGAAAGAAAAGAAGTTGAATAAGTTAAAAAAAGCGGCGAAAAAAGGACGCATAGTATCTGGACTTTAATTAGTAATTATAATTTAAGATACATATATATACATATGTATATATATAACAAATTCTGTACGTGTGCACGACAAGTGCCAAGATTACTGTCGATGTCACGTTTATAGAAAGATTTATAGAAAGATGAGTTAACGAAGTTAAATAGCTCTTGTTAAAATATTTTTTAATAAAGAAAATGAGATTCGAATAAAACCTGTGTATAATACCGATATCTATGTACATATAACATATATCTTAATATATATATATATATATATACAGAACATATATGTACAGAAGTCGCGAACGATACTTTATTCATACAATTCTACTTTTGTTTGTACATTAACAAGTTTCTATTTACATTTATAAGTTTGTATCGTAGACCAGCTATGGATACTCTTCTTTGTAAGCAACTATATCTTGTATCTTGTAAAACGCTTTACTCGTGAGTGAGACGAGTAAATGGTATAAAATTTTACGTGCGTCGCACGCAATGCTCGTCGCATATACACACACATACACAGAACGTAGGACGCTTCACTATTAAAATATTGTTTTGTTACAAAGTTTGTTTTCTTCACAGCATTGTATGTGTATTTGCAATGACAAACAATTATATGTTTTCTACTGTATGACATCTCGCGTGATGTGATTAACGATCGATTTCTTCAGATCCTTCTCCCAATAGTCTAAGGCATCCATTTTCGAGGAGGAGCCGATCGGTCAGTAAATGATTGGCAGATCTAGGACGAGAGCTTCGATATAGCCGCCGTCTTCTACCTCCTGCTAGGTGTCTCCTAACGCTGCGGAGACTGCATTAGCGTGCGTCAAAGCCGTCCACAGAGGACTGTGATCCACAGGCAATGGCACCGCCAAGGACTTTGATGGTCGTGGAGACCTGCACACATAATATATTAATAATATATTAATTATTAATATACATGTATTTTACAGAAGAGAAAACATTAAACTTCGCGTTTTATCAATGTGTTTTGATATATAATTATAGAATAAGATTTATTACTTAATTTTATTACCTGTTTGCTTTTATGATATATTACAAAATACCTTGTGTATAAACAAATGATCTATTTTCTTAGTTTTATAATTATATTCTTAGCAAAAAAGAAATATGGATTCAAAATTAAAATTGTCTATTGCATATGAGACATGAAGAGACGAAGTTACTCTTCATACTTTTTCACAATAGTTAATTATAACGATAAAATTAAGTTCAAAGTAGCCGCCATTATTTGAACAAGTTTTTAGCAATTTACAATAGTTCCTCGCTGGGGTATATTCCAAAATTCTACCTTGGTTACTAAAATGCTATATTTTGCGTCACGTGTACTATAGTTTTCGGTTACCAAAGTAAGATTTTGGAACATACCCCTGCTCGTTTCCAAAAGTATGATCCAATCATAAATGATCATCCCCCTCAACCGTTGCGCAACTGTTGAGAGTTTTCTGAACGTAACCATAGATGGCTGTGATTACTTACAAGGCCATCAACCAATCAGCGATATGTATATTCGCGGCTAAATTCATTGGCAACAGACAAAAAGATACATCGCGAACTTTTTAACGATTGTTTATCCGTTCATAAGTAGGTAAGTGACATTATTCTATTATTATTGAAATTGTATTGTTGTTACTGTTGTTGATCATAAAGTTTTGTTATATGAAATAATGGGCATGAATCACAAATTATTGATACGTATATATATGCGAAACAAATCGCTTTAGTCGAAGCGGGAGAGAGACGGTAATAAAACGCTCGTAGTACTATAAACTATGTATCTTTATTCTTTGTTAAATATAACAAAATGAAGAAGTAATTTTATTTGAAGAATGTGAGGAGGGAGAAAGAGGGAAAGGAGGAGAAAGAGAGAGAGAGAGAGAAGGGAATATAATATCAATATATTTTACAGATATTACCTTGACGGTGCCACGGCCGATTGCTAATCCGGACTACTCAATTCGAGAGCGGTGCTCTGTTCGGGATCTGAACGTTCCTCGACGACGGTGTCCAGCTCTAGGGATGGAAAAGTTCGAGATCCTCGGTCGCTCTTCAATGACACGGCACGTACCGGACGATCTATTCCAGCTGCGGGAACGTCGGTGAGTGAGTAGTAGAAAAATATTATTAATTTTCTCAATTTGTGGTTATAAACACGCTAGCGGAAAATCGTTACACGCAGCGCCGAATAATAAATCGAACATAGATCCTACATAAATCTAAACGCGTATGAAAATCTTTTCTACGGTAGTACGTTTTAATATATGCAAACAAACTCTTCATGCAAATTTAACACAATTGTTACTTTGTTCTTTTCTTTTATGTAATAGCAAATATTGTAGAAAAAGAAAAGAAATTGAGCAGACTTCCGTAAAATATTGGCAAAAATAGCAAAGATTTTTACTATCTAGTCATCTATTTAAATACGTTGCCACTACGTCATATTTTACCTAAATCCTCTCTCGAGGCTGCAACAACAAATAAACTTTTCAGTGCAAATTAACTTTGTTCGGTAAAACTTTATTTCATAAAAATAACAATACAAATATACATGCTCCATTTGTAATAGAGTTTTATATCAAATAAAAGTTATTGTTTTAATGAGCGACAAAGTTTAAAAAGTTTTATGCTCATACGTCACGTGAAATTTATTGATTTTATATGGAAATACAATTCGGGAATTTGTTACTGCAATAAAATAATTTAAATTTCTTTCAATAACATAAAGTGCATTATTATATTGAACTTTATTGGAGTTATAAAATTTATATACAAAATCTATATTTCTATGAGACATTCAAGTCACGTCTTTTGCTGTTCTAAGGTCAATTTTCGATTCCTATCAGAAAGACAATTATATACTGGTCGATAAATTTCGGGTTTCGACTACTGCGGTACTTAAAAGATAGATAACGAATATATTCCTCTCTCTTACTATTTTTCAAGCATTATTTAATATCTTTCTAATAATAAAAACAGCTTTGTTTTTAATAAAGCTATCTCAGTATAGATAATAGATTTAAAACACGCGGCCTGTGTATATCGAATAGACTAGCGCTTGCTACACACCGATTTCAAAAGTCTGACGCAATGCATTCGGTCGCGAGAGTCGGATTTATTTCTCGCATGTACTACTTCAATAGAGTCGACGGCCGATAGAAAAAAATTTTTTATGTTCTAGCTCTATTTTAATATCTTACTATTTTTTTAGCACTATTTCAATATATTCATTATCTATCTTTTAAAGATAGATAACGTATATAAGATAGTTATTCATAACAATTAAATTTTAAAAGTAACGCAAATAAAAATTTATTTATTTACATTTGTCTCGTTCTGTAGTGTTTATAAAATTTATATACATAATACAATTTATTATGTATATATAAATATATAATAAATATAATAAATATAATAAATATACATAAATATTTTTAAGAAGATTATTATTTTATACGCGATTTTACATCGTGTTTTTATTGATTATAGTATTTATACTGTTTTCAATTTTCACGAAATTCAATAACGCGTATCGTTTACAGACTTATTATTATTAATGTCATTGATATCGTGTATACGATCGAATATATATATGTACAAACTATTATACAAACCGATAGTTCGCATAATAGAGCCATTTGGGCCTCAGTTATCCGAACTATCTCTCCCGCAATCAATTTGGATAAACGAGATTTCACTGTATTTAATTTTTTCTCAGTTAATCACTAATTCTTACTTCTCATACTCTCTAATGAGTCTGACTGTCCTGAACTCTAGGTCCTCTTTATCCTTGGCTACGACTACTCTTGGTCGTCTGCAAAGTGTAGTTTGTAAAGGATTTTATCGTCATTTAATTGTATGCTCATTCCGTCGCAAGATCTTCTCCACCTTCTTAGTGCCTCATTCAGATATATTTTAAATAGAATAGGGAGCAAGCAGCAACCCTGTCGTAGACCTTTGGTGACAACGAAACTTTCAGATAGTGTTTTCCCTACTTTTATTATTATTATTTCTTGAAGTTGCCTGTTTGCAGAGTTGTTTAATTACTATTATGGCGGTGTTATTTATTGAGGATTTTTTTAGTATCTGCCATAGTGATATTATGCAAAGTGTGATATTTGCCGTCATACATTTGAATTTGTATTTGCGGAGAGAAGAACGCAAGAAATGAAATGCACCAGAGGTTCAGTTTTTTCGTTTGAATAACAAACGCTACGTTGCTTTCTCTCTTTCTGTCTCTCTCTCTCTCTCTCTCTCTCTCTCTCTCTCGACATTTTTTCCCTTCGGTTTCCTGATTGACTGGATACACGCAATACATATATACACGGGGCAGGTATTCGCCCGCGCCGAAAGCGAGAGAGAGAGAAAGACCATAGGTAAATCGACTCGGATTCTCGTATATACTACCATTTATCCGGTCATGTACGCACGACCATTGGAATAAACATAAAAAGGGCGGAAGAAGCTCTAAAACAGATGAGTTCTGGCCTGAATATTCATATTCACGTGTCGTGATGGCGGATATTTTTTAGCGTAAACGCGTGTTTGAATAACCGATTGTTTTCTACACGAAAGCGTATATGTTTGCGTAGGTTGTCAATTAAATGCCTCTTAATATCTATTTATTATACATTTTTTCTCGTTCTCTTTGCAATGTAAAATAATCCGAATGTTTTAAAGTAACAACCAAAACGCAAAGGACTTTATTTCTATTTCAGTCGCATGTATCTTAGCTCTGCAATATTTGACACGTGTAAAATGATTTCTAAGGTTACCGAGAGATACCTATCGCAAGGAAATATATGTGTATGAGATGAATGTTGCAATCGCGGAAATAAAATCTTTCGCGGAAAATCTCGTCACTCTCGCGATGTCGCATCGATATTTGTCGCGTGATAGCATCGAAAATTGCATCTTTACATCGTTCTTGATAATTTATTTCCGCGAAGTGCAACGCGGTGCATAAAATATGATGCTCTTTTCTCTCGTAAAACGTACCACAACATCTTACATCCGTGCACAAATTTCACATTTCACATATGCTTATTTCCGGTTTACGGTCGAAAATACGTGTCGGGAATTGTAACGTTATTATTTCGTCGCCCGCGCGCTATATTAAAAATTCGCGTTTGTAACGAAAAAAAAAAACAAAAGTTCCTGTTATCCGCGCATCCAATATTTTTTATCTCGCAAAAAAGCAGAAACAACGAACGCGGCAGAGAAGTATGGCGATAAACGTTATTATTAAAAAGCATTTGCATTGTTAATGTATCTCGATATCTCTCATTTACATATTGTTTATAAGAGTATCGGTAAACGATTGTACACACAGCATAGTTCGATCATTTTGTTTACGTCGCGTCATCACTTTTAAATTGCCTACACAAATACTCGCCGTGGTTAAAATTAATATTGTAGGATAATGCGGATGTGGAGCTTATTTTCGAAAGAATCGAGACACGAGATTGTCTGTATATGTGTGTATAATATATTTAATAATATTAAACCGATAGAAATTTACAATTACACACGCGGCACGTTCACGTTTTTTAATTTGCGACACTTTGCTCAACTCTACGACTTTTTCTGCGACTTCTCTTTTTTTTTTTTGGTTATTTAGAATATATGTCACGTTTCTTATCTCCTTTTGATATTTGTATTTAAAACACAAACGCACCGCTAACACTCGGACATTAAAAGGTGCCGCGTTATATTTCAGCGATTATATTTCGCAACAATCTCTTTCACAGCTAGTTCGAGCGTTTTATACGGTTGGTTAGCAACACTTATTTAATTCTGCCTGAGCGATTTAGTCTCTATTCACACACACACACAGCGCGGAATATCTGTTCCGCATACGCGCGCGTGTCCTAGTTTCACTTTTAAACTCGATAGATACTCACCCAGACGATGAACCGGGCTGAAACGGACAAGGCTCAGCGCGCCATGATCCAAATCGCAGTTTCTTCGTCGGGCTCGCTCCCTAGCGAGTTTCGCTCTCCTTCGTAAGCAGCAAATTACCATTAACGCCAGCAATGGGAACCCCAGAATGCAGGATACAATGGGTATGATTATGCTCTCTGGCGTTACTGAAAGACGCAAATGCAATTTAATTACGTACTACGCGCTATATGCATTTCGTAAAGCAGCAGATATTAACTCGGTTTTCTATTAATTACACTTTTATTATATTTATACCTAAATATGTACCTAAATATATAGACGTATATATTTCTATACGCGCGTATGTGCGCGCGCATATAGTTTTTCCGCTATTTACACGCGTGAGAGAAAATATTTCTAAATAAGAAAATATCTAAAGTTGATTTTTGACGGTTTAAAACTTTCTTTGATAAATTATTTTGATTATCAAGATACTGCAAAACTTATATCTGATAAAAAATATCGACGATGCGATATCTCGTCCAAAATTCCATTTTTCAATTTAGTTTGTATTAAATTTTAAAAACAATGAAATTAGCTTGTATCAAATTTATCGAAGCTACATACGCAATCAAAACAATATTTTTCGATATCATTTTTAGAAAGTTTACTTCTTTCTTTGTTGATTTTGAATTTTAAACGGCTATTGTATTGAACATGATATGCATACATTTTCTATACAAAAATATAAACTTGATTTTTGTCGCGCAATTTTCTCGACTATGGCTATGGGACACTATTCAGAATAAAGACTTTTTATACATCACGTGTACGATACAATAATGTTTACGTTTTTCTGTTGGCAAATGCATCCGGGTTTCTTGGATTAAGCGCTATTTCCTTGTCGTATAATACATGAAGCTTATCTTAGCTTTTGCAGCGTGTTATTCTTTCTACGACACAAAGAGAAACGCTAGTTCTGTTCTGGAAACTTTTAATAATGAACACAGCGCGTAACTTATGAAAACGAATATAACACGACGTTATTTTCTTTTTATTTTCTTAAATTACCGTTGCTATGCTATAATTGAAAGATGAAGCTTTGCTAATTATATACTGCACGTTTGATTAAAAGATAGGACGGTGATAGTACAAAAAGTACACAATTTATATTGAAGATATTATAGTTTGGAAAAATATTGAAAAAATATTTTTTATATTTTTAACGTGTCTTATTAAGTTTCTTGTTAGAAATATGAGAACTTTGTTTGTAGATTCTCATGATGGTTTTCCTCGAGGCTAATTAGGTATGTTGTAAATATTCGAGTAAAATCCCGAATGTACGAAGTTTAAAAGAAGAGTGCTAGAGTTTCTAATTAACAATTGCTATATTTATGACGGATTTTTTTAAAATCGGAGTTATAAAACAGTTTTAAGTTAATCCTTCAAAGTGCCAGACATAAAAAATGACTTACGAGTTGTTCAGACTGGATTTGTGAGATCCACGCGACCTTAAGTTTGAATAGAAAGAAAACCGCAGAAAATAATATTTTTTCAATTTCTGTGTTTATGAATCGAAAGTTTAGACGATTCTGCGTCGATCAAAAAAGTAATAGATTGACAAAATCTCCAGTAATTTTGAAGATGTAGAAGCATTTTTAAAGAAACACCTGACAATTTTTTATTCAAAAAAATGGTTTTTTGTTTAACAATTCATAACTTTTTGTGTAAATAAATACCGGTTTATTTGCGTCGCGCGCGGATGGCGGCAAATGTCAATGAATAGCGATCAGACAATGATCTTTTAGCCGGCAAACAAATAGATACTCGGTGCTGTATTATTGTAGAAGTGGATTGTTAGTCGTTTTAGTGTTTCTCGCAATTTCGGTTCTCTGAAAACAAGCGAATAGCTGACACTAATTATATTATCAACCTGCTGTCCTCTCCGCGTCTCTTCAAACTCACTTGTTCCAAGCTACTCGGTTGCAACTTACCGTCGCCGCAGGCACGCGATGTAATACTTCATACAAGTGTCTAATTAAACAATGTACCGCGAAGTTAATAGCCAAAATAAAGCACATGAAAGATAATAATATAGCAACGTCATGTAAACAACGTCGTGTAATGGTTTTTGCGACTAAACTTGGTCACGGCATATATTATCAAGTTACGGTTTTTTACCTGTTGGATATACTAAGATTGTGGGCCTTTTGGAGTGAGGAATCGTTGGCATAGTGGGTCGTCCGGCTCTCACCTCAGCCGACATTTTTCTTTGTTCTCCAACTGAATGAAAATTCACCTTTGAGCCGGTGGCCTCTTCAGACCTCGATAGACGCTTCTGTTTCTTCTCGATATATGTAGTCTCCTAAAAAAGAACTCGTAAGCAAAACAGAAATAGACTGTGAAAAATAAAACACACAAAGAAAAAAATCAGTATTCGAATTTCAGAATTAATATGGCAAAAGAGCGCACTTTTTTTGTTCCCGTGGTTTTTTCCAAAGTGCACAGATAGCCATTACCGCTGAAGTGAAATATCAGGAAGGTCTTGTTGCGTAACAATTCATCAAAATATGCTGTTCACGTCTCTGACAAGCACTCTGACGGCTCGTTATATACCGAATGACAAACGATTTTTTTACGTTTTACGCGGAGAAAAACGCGCGGTTTGTACGTGTCGCGTATTGAGGGACATAGAATCGATTGTCAGTACGTACGGGTACAATCGTAGTTCGTCTCCGATTTCAACGTGAGATTTGCACGAGTTTGGAATCAGTTGGAGATGTTCGCGCTTCGTCAGAGACGTGAAATTGCTGCTGTTATCCGCAGGGAACGGAGAATCTCCGCAAGAATCGAATTTCTTCGTTCGAAAAATTATCAGATTTTCTCTTCAGTTATTTTCGAGATTCAAATTATCCGAACGCGATATCGATATTTGCCTATAGATATTATTTATATTTATTTACCAAGAGAATATTTTGCTACTAATAATGTTGCGCTGCGAATTTTATTTTATTTTATATACAGTTATTATTTTCTTACGGTGGAATTATCTTTCAAATACATTTTTTTCTCTGAACAAAAGAAAAAAATATGGTCGAGAACAATTGCCTTTTTTTTTTTATTTTATTTTTCTTATTAATATAAATCGCGTCTGTAACCCTAGGGAACAAAGAAAAAGGTTTTCGATATGTATGTTTTGTGCATGAGCGCGTGTGTATGCTATAATTCAAGGGAGTCTCTCCTGTGTGCCGTACGTGTACTTTCCTCTCCTGTAAACGCTAAAATATTTAAGGACAACTTAATGAAACAACGTGATAGAGTTGTTTGAAAGACGGAAGTTTTTAAATTGTAATCTATTTTCGCGCTTTTACCGAATGTTGATTTTGGCAAATTTTATACAAACTCTCTTAAATGAAAATCCGCGAAAATACAAACTTCTTCCGTGAAGAAAAATACGATCGAGTATTTTTCAACGACACTTTCCGTGGTGTGTAAATTTCTTTCGCAAACAAATTCGATTGTTTTCCAAAAATTCTTTCCAACGTGAAAAAACCGTGCTTTGCGAAATTTCGTTCGAATTTACTGCTCTTGATCTTCTAATTTGGTGGAATTACACGCGCGTGTTTCTCATTAGAGTAATCCAATGAGAAAATCAATTAATGTTGTAGCGGCAATATTATAGCGGTCGAAATCCTGGCGTAATAATAGCAGACGGTGGACGATTGAGAATTTGCGATATCGCCGGACGTCAGAGGCAGATAATGTGGGATAATACGCGCGTGTAAGGGGTTGGACCAGATGGCGTAGTTAGGACGAAATTACACAACGGTTAATTTTCTGTGGAAGTAGTATGTGGAGTTCTCGACCTTTAACATTGGATTGATTTCATTGTGTTGTGATAGTTCTACCGATCTGTGTACACTTTGTAACATATGTATATATGTACATATATTACGTCTAAATTATCATATTTAGCTTTGAGAAACAATAATATAACTTGTTTGTTTATAATTTGTTGCATCAGATATTAAGTCGTTTAAGTATCTTTTAGTTTTTGATTTAGTTATTGATTCGCCATCACGGAAGAAAGTTCTTGTTATTTCTCTATCTCTCTCTTTCTCTTTAGAGCATGTTCCGTGAAATTAAATTTTTCATGCAGGCGTGGCCGACCTACTTAGAATAAAAATCAATTAATAGAATTGTCGATAAAGTTTGTAACGTAACGTGTCTTTTTTGACTGTCTAATTTTTTCTCTACATTAGATCGCTTTATTCTTACCGCGGTAATTTTTCGAATATTCTATAAATTTTATCTCTGTAGATGTAATATTATTGCTTACATTTAAGCACGTGAAGAATTCTCAGCCAAGAACAATACCAAAGGGAGAAGAAAAGATACGCCGTTATCATATCTTTTCAGAAATAACCTGAGAAACACGTTTTTAAGGAGAGAATATGCTGAATCGCGTTTGCTTAATTTAGCTGCGTGGTTGTGAGAGACTGAGAGAATCAGGAAAGAAGATCGTCGTTCTTAAGCAAAACGGCGAGATTAGCGAAAAGGAAAAGATAGAATACTAAAAAATAATGTAATTGCTTATGAAATCAGAATTTACCCGAAGAATTTAGGAATTTATAAAAATTCATTCTTTCACTTACATCAGCGAAAAATCAAAATAAACTGCAAAGTTAATCGACTACAATACAGATTTCATGGGGATAAATGATGAGAAACAATATGAAATCTCCAACTATTCTGCAGAAGGATAAAATTGATTTATCGGCCCGCGACCTATATAGAATAGTGAATGGAAATTTCCTTCGAGTTAATAAATTGATGAAGTTTGAAGATATTCGACTCGCTATTACGGATGTCGATAGTGCGTTTCTTTGCGCATCGAGTTAGTTTGATTGCCTCATCAACTTCGCCGTCTCTGGCGGAGAAAAGATCACTCTCTTTTCGGTGCATATAAGCGAAAGCCTACGAAAGACTTCCTGGTCTCCAGAAAATGATAGCTACAACGTGTCTGTTATCTAAGTAGGTCGGCCACGCCTGTACGAAAAATCTCATTTCACGAACACATTCTAGAGAAAGAGATAGAAAGATGGAGAAACCCGAATTTTTCGAGGTAAATCGATTGGAACAAGACGTACAACCTTTCAAGAGAGTCTCAAACGCTGAAACAGCATATTGTCTGTACGTTTCACCTGTACGCGCGCGCGTTAAATATATAAACTTCCGACGATACACTTCATAGATATATTTTGCGGCGTGTAAGTTCTTCTTTTCGTTTGCTCTTGTTATCACGCGGAAAGTTCACGGGGATTTGTCAACAAGTTTTCATCTTCGCGACGGAATCCGTATACCCCTAACACATATCCGTCGCGTCATCTTCGCGGCATGTGTCCGATCTTCAAAGGCCACTGGCAGGCTAACGGCTGTATCTGCATATCCGATAGTTCGGCATGCTATTCGGATACGAGCGGCATGTGCAGCCACCTGAAGTTGATGCGCTCTGTGCTATTTCAACGTTGTTGAAATGTCAAGGTATTTGCGTCGCTTACGTATACGGGTCCGCGAAACAGGCAGGAACGTTTAGTTCACAGGATTATGTATGGACACATTGTGCACTAAGAGAGATCTTCGCACGGGAGCGAGCAAGATGCGCTCCTACTGAATACGAAAGGGCGGTCTTAAGCTGAGCCACCTGAGTTTACGTACACGCGAAAGACACGTTCTGTTGCGCCGGATACGCGTGCGATGTAATCGCGCCATTACAGGTACGCCTGTCTCTCCTCACCTGGCCGCGTTTGATAAGAATTTCGTTTTAAAGACCCGTCAGAACCGCTTTTCGGTCAGATTTAATCTCGATTTGAATCTCAATGTGATTCCTCTCGCTCGAGAGACGCGAAGAGTCAATTCTTTTTTTGTTCTGTTTCTTTCAACGCGATTCCTTCTCGTTTGAATTAAAATATAGATCACAAATTGAGATTTATCTCATATTACGTTGTATAACAAACTTCATTCTCGGGGATGAAAGTGTTTAATTAACAAAAAGTATCGGCTGGAGAGTCGGCGATTTCGCGAATGAAAAATTCGCGAGATACGTCATTGAAGGAAAAGATCCGGTTTTTCTTTTTCACGGTGACTGTACACGAACTCTCATTATGTCGGTCAAGTTTTATTCGAGAGAGAGAAGGCTTGATTCACGCCATTTATCATGCGTTTTCATCAATTAGGGCAACCTCGATTACGTCGTAAGATAAGCCGCACGATTTATCCAACCTACTCTCACTTTCCGCCACTTCCGTTCCGCGCTCTTGTTATCTTCCCTTCAGTCACGAAACACACGAAGCCCTCATCTCTGACCTTTAACTACACATCATCGATGAAATTAGGACTTGGAAACCGCTAATTCCGCCTGTTTTCAAGTAGCGAGTTACGCGAGGTCGTGGTCAAGGCTCTCTCACAGGTCGAAGAAACATTTTCTCTCTAGGTCGTACGCAATCTCTTCATGATCATAAATTAGAAATGCAAAGCGTTATTTAATGACTTCAGCAACGATCTCTTAATTGATTCACTTCTCGTTAAATTTAATGCAGAGTCATTACAAAACCGTCACAGCTTTGCTAGCGAGCCGTAACACATTGTGAAAGTGATTTTCGATCGTAACTACTTACGAGATACCAATTAACTCCTTGCAGTAAAATCGACTTATTATAATTTCTATTATATAATTATCTATATGTCTATATCGAAATAATCTGTTATCGGTATCGTAGTTTATCGCGATTAACGTTGCGTTTTCCCTTTACTCTCTTTCTCATTCTTGTCCCTCGTGAAGCTCGAAATGTCACGTGAACATGTAATTTCGGTATGCTCTCGAAATCGGCGGCACGCGAAAACGTGGAGAAATACGATCGTGACGCGAAATTGAGGACCTACACGCGTTCTCTGTAGGATTTCCGAGAACAAATCCCGTTTCGTTATTCTTTTTTCTTCGTAATATGTACGAATCGATCAATATCGCTCGAAATAACAAAGTTTTTTTTTCCAGCTACTGATTGACGAAGATATAAATTAAATATAATTAAATAAAAAGATTAAAAAAAAAAAAAAAAAAACAAAATATGAAAATACAAATAAAATATCGCCGCGAGGAGTGTACAGCGAAAATAAACTTCTCGTGGAAATTGCATTTTTTTCTCGAAAGAGCTTTCTTGTATTTTCAATTAGAATGAAGGTTGTTCATGTAGCTTGACAAAAGATGAACAGAATCTTATTGTGCTTGTTAAAAAGCATCGCGCTTTGTACTTACACAGTCGAATTGTTGATTTTTAATCCCGAGAGACCGAGAGAGCACACCGA